ACAATCAAAAATAAAGTACAATATTGCCATGTGAAGTTGAAAGTTCAACCAATTCCCGACTTTTGGTCCTTTCGCAATTTTGTATGTTTGACCTCGTCTACTCACCGGTGACCCCTGAGATGATATATCATAAACTTTTCTTATAAAATATCTTTCTCCAATCTCAAATCCTCCTAATTTCTCAAAACGTACACTGCAATTCCATGTGTATGGAGAAAAGGAGATGTGAAATATTCGGGCTCGCTGCTGAGACAACAACCAAATGACACAAAACGTCTAGTGATCAATATGCGTTCTTCACAAATACATGATATCTATACAATATATATGATTATTCTAAAATATCAGTATCTAAAATAGTTATGAACAAATTTAGCAGTGACTATGTGAACCGTGATGTAAACTTGAATACTTAACCTGATGTCACTTGTTATAATGTGTAGTTCACAATCATAATCTTTCTAGATACAAATGATTCAAATATGTATATGTATAGACCATATGGTGATAATAAAGTGATAACAGTTATATATTTTTAATGTAAATAATAATTAATATCTATAGCAAAATAAAATTGATTTCATAGAAGTATTATAAGTGCATAACATGAGCAGAAAAGTCGTGGATATTTTCACATGCCTTACCGCACATATTGCATTGTAACGGATTGTTAACGTTATGGAGTCCCATGTGCAAATAGTACAAGGTTCTATTCAGAAAAATTATTTCACAGTAGCCACACATATGCGCATGTTCACGTTTTTGCAGTAAAAGTTCTAGAGGATCATTCTGTGGCGATGCCATATATTGACAAGAGTGCTCGCGCTCATCGATGTAAGGTTCGGGTTGTTCATAGCGGTATGTCACAGGAGAACCTACAATATTGTCAAATTCACTAGCTTTCTCAAAATATGTACGACTTTCTATGTTACCAGTAGAAGCAGGTCTTGGTCTTGACATATAAGTGAATTCTGAATCTCCAACATTAGATAAACTGGCGCTCCGAGCACGACGGATATCGTCAACAGCTGTTAAATTCAATTTTAAATCTGCCTGTGACTGTGTGATATGAGAGGATTTGACGGGTTCCTTCGTATCGATAGCTGTGTCGTGTTCTGTGATACTGTGTGGTTCTTTTGGTTTCTTCTCAGATACAAGATTAAGAGGTTCGTGCTGAACGATTTGAGTGGACATGTTTTCGTCATTGTTCTTTTTGTTTAAGTCTTTTGCATCTTTATTTTCATTTTCATTCGATTTGTTTTTACTAGTTTCATTTTCCTTTGCATGTTGGGTAAGTACATGCATTGTCAAAAAGTCACGTGATTCAAAAATTGAACCACAAAACTGACAGCGGAAAAACTCATGGACAGTGATATCATTACTTTGATCCTGACTTTTTTTACCTTTTCTGTTTTGTTGACCGGCAGCTGATTCCTTTGGATGATTCAGTGACGTCATCTGTTGTTTCTTCGTAGCTGCATGCACTGTCATAACATGCATGGCCATTGCATCTTGGTCCAGAAAATGTTCTGAACAACACATGCACTTTATTCCTTGTAGTGGTTGAAATTTCGATTCTTCTCTCGGCGTTCGTTGGTTGCTATCAGCAACAGACAGTGCTGATTTTAAATATTCATCCTCGTTCACGGACGATGTAACATCAATTAGAAATTCCTGACCACTTTGTGAAGGAACAAGATCAATTGTCTCTCCATATTCACTGCCGTTTTCTTTAACGCTAGATTTTTTCAAATGCACGTCGTCTGGCTTACACGTTTCATCTTTCACGCGCATCATCACATGCATTGCATATGTGTCTCTATTCATAAATATATTATGACAACAATCGCACTTGAAAGTCCCATGTTGAATGTCTCCATTAAGATTGTTTTGTAAGTTAGAAAAGTACTGTCGTATGGCTCCTTGTTTCATTATGTTCTTCTCCATTCTGTTCCCGATTTCGGACGCCCATTCTCCATTTAACTGCAGTTGCTTTGCATGAAAAGCAGTATGAGTAAACAAGTCCCGCAAAGTACGAAATTTGGCAAAACATATCTGACATGTGTGTTTGGGAATGCGTCCAACCTGTCTACGGCTTCCTTGTTGAGAACACTGGTGATCTAATGCCATGTGTATCATCAGTTCGTCCTGGTTTTCTAAATACCTATCGCACATTAAACACGGAATAGATGGCTTTCCATTCTCTGACTGGTTGCGGAATCTTTTCAATCCTGTTTTTCCTGTTGCCGTAATATCTTCTGTTGATTTTCGTTTCAATCCCACTTCTTTTGTTAAACCGTTACACTGTTTGTTGTTGATGAGTTCTTCATCTTGCGGTTCCTGTTTTATACGCTGGATCATGGCAGAAACTTCTAATTGAGATACCATCTCTTTGCTCATTTCAGTTAAAGATGAAAATACGATTTAATATTGTCTAAACTTAAACTAAGAATATTCCAAAACTTTTACAGTCTGTGTTCCTTAAGTTGAATAAAACAAATCCTTCTTCACCAGACCCCTATCTGCTAATGACTAACAATTTACAGTGAATAATGCGAAATAAAATATTAGTGCTATAAGCTCCTAATGCAATTTATTGGGTAAAACTAGAAGTTATTAATTATTAACACAACGAGGATTCCCTTTGTAAATTATTCTGTTGGCAGAATTCTTAATTATTGAATTCATGCGACGTATGTTGAACGGTTCAGTGTAATAATGCTGAATAATTAATGACCTTACATTGGACGCTACCCACGGTCGATACACTATGTAAATGAAAAACGCCTCAAAATAATTATAACAAATAGGAATAAAAATAATATATTATTTATACAGTCTGACATCTCATTTACTTTGACAATTTGAATATGTTAAAAGTAAATCCATTTAAATACAATATCGACTTCTGTTTACAAGCAATGTGTAATAGAAACAATTCTCCTCTTGAGTAATAGATAGTAATTTAATTTAATATGTCTTTTCTGTTACTAAACATCTTTACAATACAGATTTTAATTTCTACTCAAGTGTGTACTTTCATTGTATTACTCAAATATATATATATATATATATATATATATATATATATACAGTTAGTAAAATAGTCCCAGTGGATATATAGCTCAAAATCATAATTTAACAGATTTTTACTAATTTTGAGTAATGCTGATACATGTATAAGGACAGCGTTAACGATAAGCATAATAATGTTGGAAGTATACTGGTCTGTGTTTTGTCTTTCTGGTACAAATTAATTCATTTTGGTTACTCAAACATGTAAAGTTAAGAATTTGTAATATGTAGCGGTGAATAATATATATATATATATTATATGATTGGTTACTAAATTGAATTCGACGTAATGATTATATATTCTGTCAGGATTTGACGTAGTGTAGGTTTTTGTGATAACGCAGGCTTCGTTTACTTGAAATTAAGTTACAAGTTTTATCGTCGTAACATTTCGAGAGCTTTTACGGAGAAATATTATTCAATAAAAGAAAACATATGCATAATAGTTGAACCAGTTGAGAATCCTTTTAGGCGTTGTACTAAAATATCCATATAATTCAATTCTGTACCTTTTTTTCTAACACTTCGTAGCCACCAACGAAAAAGCACGTGTAGAATGTATATATTACATATACTAATTCGTATATTATTTTTTTTGTAATGTGTTTGTTGGCAAAAATACATGTATAAATATCATATGGTATAATTAAGATAATAAGTCCATAGTTACATATGCATCGGCAAAATCAAGACAAATACATATAGTTTGAATCATTTGACAAATTCATGAATAAATAATAATAGTACAAAAAACCTAGGCAGTCTTGATTGGGAGGATATTATAATCTTCGGTGGCATTTCGGTATACGTCACGGAGTATGCAAGTCGAAAGAGGAAGTGTAAATTTCCCCTGAATTTATTTCACACCAGGGAAGTCTTCAACATTTATATAAATTCACGAGTATCACAGCTCCATTTGACTGAGTACCTTCGCGGTTTAAGCAATACTATGACTTATTTCTTAACAGATGACCAAATTATAAACACCTGATGCCTGGATATCTGGGACTATTATACTAACAGTTAGTATAATAGTCCCAGTGGATATATAGTTCAAAATCATAATTTGACAGATTTTTGCAAATTTTGAGTAATACTAATACATGTATAAGGACAGCGTTAACGATAAGCATAATAATGTTGGAAGTATAAGGTCTGTGTTTTGTCTTTCTGGTACAAATTAATTCATTTTGGTTACTCAAACATGTAAAATTAAGAATTTGCAATATGTAGCGGTGAATAATATTTTATATTTTAGGGAAATGTGTTAAATTGTTGAAAATTATTTAGTATATGTTATAGTCTTTTTAGCATTCAAATTCCGGTAGGATTTTATAAGTTTTACATTTTTACTCTGCGAGCGAAAAAAAATACAGGGGACATTCAGTGGCTCTATACTCTAAGGTTTGATTTGGAATTACGAATCACGGTGATCACATGGACATCTCCCATCCGACATTGATACCCATACCGAGGAACTTGTTACTGAAGACATTTAGGTGTCCGTAAGTGACTTTGGACTTGCTTGGGATACAAAGCTTCAAGTTAGCACAAACACATTTTATCGGTGACTGTATCAAATATGATTGGAAAAACTAGTAAATACTAGTAAATATGTTAAATTCATGTTAAAAAAGCATGTTTTATGTTGTTGTATTTTTCAAGTTAAAATATGGTTATGAAAAATGTTGTACATGTAAACACATGAAAAAGGCATACATACCAACTTTAGTTACATCCCCAAAACTTTAACAAAATATTTTAATAGGCTTTGTGGTTCATGATTTTGACTAAAGTGTGAGTTTAAACTTCTATTGTAGTTTAGGCAAACCTGAGCTCTAAAAGAAGTTAATTTTAGAATGAGCGTTGCATGATTTTATTTTAAAATAAAACTTAAAGGTTTGTATGCGGCGATACGTACCGTGATGGAAATCATGAAATGACAATTGCAGAGTTATGTTATTCCAAGTTCATGCTTTTCAGACTTGACTTTATCTAATCCAAGACTCCTATAACACAGCGTGTCATGTTTTTTTTTCAAAATGTAAAACAACCATGAAAATCCTTGATAGACGTAAACGGTATCCGATCAAATAACTCTATTTACACCGGAATTTGTGACACGCTTGGTCCGCCGTTGTTTCAGTCATTAGAAACTTAAATGTAAACAAAGCTGTCGGAGTGATGGAAAATAGGGTTGCAAATCGGTTTGTTGAACAGGTATCAGCAGCATTTCAGTATTATTTGATTTTTATGATAAAAATGTGTATGATATAAATCTGTTAACTTACGAATGTCTAATATGTTTTTTAACCTGGACAAGAATACCTAATTTAAGGGAGACAATCAAAATATTTCAGACTTCAGTTCTCGCAAACACCTCCCAATGATAAAAAGTGAACATATGCTTTTATATCGTAGTCTGTTTACCAATATGACGTAACATGGTATAAAAACTACAAGTTCAAGAACATTACCCAAAATCAGATTTTATTCATGAAATAAGATACACCTCAATCTGCCTTGATTTAACTTTATTGTCCTGGACATGCATGTAATATTTGCCACTGGACGTTAAGCAACCAACAATCAATCAATGATTTAACTGTAAGTGACCCATCCCATAAAGAGCTATACTAAACCAACCATGCCTCTTAAGCTAACCCTAACAATAGCCCTAACACTAAATCATATCCCAAACTTAAAACAAACCTTAGCCTTACCCTAACTCTAAAAGTAAATGGAGGCCCTCAATTCAGTAATTTCAGTTGTCTTTCAACAACATGTACATGTAAGTCTGTTCATTTCTTTTAACATAGAACTTCCAGGATGAACAAACGTCCCAGCCAGAGTCGTACACCATTTACACCAAACTTCCCAGCCAGAGTCGTACACCAAACTTTTTCCTCAAGTAAACAATTTTATCTTCATGACATGTTCAGGAAGATAAAGTTAAATGAAGAGTCTTGTCACCACAGAGCAAAAATTAACATCATACAATACAATCAACTTTGCTCTGTGGTGACAAGACTCTTATTACACGTGTAACCTCATCATCGTACATCAAACTTTTTTTCTTTTCAAGTAAACAATTTCAACTTCATGACATGTTCAGGACGATAAAGTTGAATGACGAGTCTTGTCACCACAGAGCAAAAATTAACATCATACACTACAATAAATTTTTCTCTGTGGTGACAAGACTCTTTTAACATGTGTAACTTCAGCATCGTACATCAAACTTTTCTTCTTTTCAAGTAAACAATTTCAACTTCATGATATTGAAGATCTAGATTACAAACTATTTGCATGCTCATTGTACATAGTGCATGGGAATTATATATAAAATGTAAATAAGTTCAAAACAAATAATTGAATTTTGAAAATTTAATTGATTATTATCAAAAAATGATTTCATGACATTTTCAATAGACCTTTTAAATTTCTATTTAGGATTCTTGGACAATTGACAAGATACATGCATGTATCAACATCATACATTCATACATTACAATCACTTTTGCTATGTGGACTCTTGTAACGTGTGCATCCATAAATTTTATTGTAACATGTATGATATTCAGTAGTGATGTAAAAATAGATATAAAGTGTATATTGGAAAGCTAAGGACTACTACTATAAACATCTTGACGGAACGCTTACAGAAGTAATTTAATGATCATTCCAATGCTGACATACAGACCTGTATTGTACTATCAGACCTGCCAACTATACCAATTTATGGGGATATCCCCCATGAGAGGTGTTGACCTAAATTTTGAAATTCTTTATTATATCAACTGAACACCTCAAAACATGCATTCAAATGGGTTAAAAGGATACTAAAGCAAATACATACTCATTCAAACAATATAGTATTAGATTAAAAACAGGTATGACAATATAAGAGGAGCATTAGGTCTTAAAATCTCCAATGTAGATTTTGAAAAGTTGGCAGGTATGTACTTTAGTGGATTATGTACATGATGTATGACTTACAGACCTGTAAAGTACAATAGTGGATTAAGTATGACTCACAGATCTGTATTGTACTATAGTGGATTAAGTATGACTCACAGACCTGTAAAATACAATAGTGGATTAAGTAAGACTTACAGATCTGTATGGTACTATAGTGGATTAAGTATGATTTACAGACCTGTATTGAACTGTAGTGGATTAAGTATGAATTACAGACCTGTATTGTACTATAGTGGATTAAGTATGACTAACAGACCTGTATGGACTATAGTGGATTAAGTATGACTTACAGACCTGTATTGTACTATAGTGGATTAAGAATGAATAACTGACAGACCTGTATAGTACTATAGTGGATTAAGTATGACTAACAGACCTGTATTGTACTATAGTGGATTAAGTATGACTAACAGACCTGTATAGTACTATAGTGGATTAAGTATGACTTACAGACCTGTATTGTCCTATAGTGGATTAAGTATGACTTACAGACCTGTATTGTACTATAGTGGATTAAGTATGACTAACAGACCTGTATTGTACTATAGTGGATTAAGTATGACTTACAGAGCTGTATAGTACTATAGTGGATTAAGTATGACTAACAGACCTGTATAGTACTATAGTGGATTAAATATGACTTACAGATCTGTTTTGTACTATAGTGGATTGAGTATGACTTACAGATCTGTATAGGACTATAGTGGATTAAGTATGACTTACAGATCTGTATTGTACTATAGTGGATTAAGTATGACTAACAGATCTGTATAGTACCATAGTGGATTAAGTATGACTAACAGATCTGTATAGTACTATAGTGGATTAAGTATGACTTACAGATCTGTATTGTACTATAGTGGATTCAGTATGACTAACAGACCTGTATTGTACTGTATTGGTTTAAGTATGACTAACGGACCTGTATTGTACTGTAGTGGATTAAGTATGATTTGTACAATATATAGAGGTATGAAACTGGCTTAACTGACCATGTGTTTTGAGTCATTGATATTGGTTTTAAAAAAAGTTTCCCTCCATTTTCATTTGTTTTTTTCAAATATAAAGATAAGAAGATGTGGTATGCTCTCTTACTACATGTAAATATTACTGTACAGTTATACCTTAAAATTGTCTACTGTCAAACTGTGCATAGGAAATACCTACTGTGTTGTAAAATGATAGTAAAAGTAATATACCCTGCTGGCTGGTACAGTATTTATACAAAAGGTTGCACATGCATACTATCATACATATAGTATTGATTTCTATAAAAGGACAAATATTGTTTTTGAAGGTAGTGTTTAAATTTTTTTTTTACAAAAACCTTACACCTTCAAGTCATTTTTGAATTTAATTATGCATAAAGTAGTTTTATAAATAAAAAAAATCAAAAGCCTCAAAGAAAGTCTGTTTTTTTAAATGTTGAGTACAAGCTAACTGAATGGACCTATATGTGTGCCTGAAATGAGAGCCTACCCTGGTATACACTGAAAATGCAAATTTGTACATGTGATTAACAGTTGACTGCAAATCATACTTTGAGCTTGACAAAATTACTTTTGAGAGTTAAATCTAGTATGCTCTTGGGAAATAATGCTTTTCCCGTAAATTCTCTTTATAATTTTACTCTTCCCAAAGACACAATTTCAAGAACACAGGAGCTCTCCGTAATAAAAGAAATTGTCAATATCTGCTACGGCATTATGTAAATAAACTGTAGAATATAGAAGTCTTCCAATTAAGCATATGATTATTAAAACATAAGTCAAAGGTAATATAAACCAATCTGTAAGTGGGACTTTAAACATCCTTTCACCCTTCCATAAATATTAGGTTATCTGAAAGTAGCATTGATACAGATTCAGTGTATAATGCACTGTAGAGTGTATTCCTGTACATGTGTACAATATGGAGATTTGTTCTAACATTTTTTTTCTAAAATCTGTCTATTATAAATACCCCCTTTTTAAAAGGTAGGTGCATTGTGCAATGTGTGAGTTGTAGTCCATAATTTTGAAATGCTATCAAATAAGATTAAAAATTACAAAATGTACATAAATATCTACTTTTAATTTTTTTTTATTCATTATTGCATACATGTACATAAAAGTATCATGATATTTCAAGCATGGTAAGGATGTCCACAAAATAAGTATATAAAAGAATGAAAAACTCCTGTTTCCTGGCAGATATTCATATTTCATGTACCAGATATTTACATTCTGAATTTATTTTGGACATCTGTAGATTTGTACATTACAAAAACAAATTTCCTAGGGTGGTTTTAGTCATTAGTGGGCATACATATTGATATGAACAAATTTTTGGAAAGTCATGCAATTTTCTTTTTTTTTTCTTATAAAAAACATAAAATAATATCATAATTAAATACAACTCATAATCCCCAAGAAATTAAAAATGGTTGGAAATGTTGGTCACCTATTTTATACATGCACTTATAAAATTGGTCCATTGCTGAAGATTACAGAGACACTATTCTGATTTGTCCTTTTACAAATATAAATAATATATTAGGATGAACTCCTGAACAAGTCCCTTTGAGATTTTACATATATATAGCGTTCCATTTAATTACATTGTCTGTATGTAATATTGATGAAGTCATGATTATTTTAGGGATGTGGGTTTTATTATATAACCTGTCTCATGAATGATCATTAACATTTTATGGCCATCAAATATTGTCACTAACTTCTTAATCATTTATATTCTATCAATTAACTGTTGGTTTTAATTTTAGTTTTAATTGGAATTGCAACTGAAATTTGAAATGGTTGATGTAATAAGTGGTAAATAATAAATGTCCTTCTTTCAGACTGATATAGGTTTTAGTCTCGTTTATTTCAAAAAACATGATCAGAAGATTTATGTTATAATTATCTTACAAAATACATGAGGTAAATGAAATTAAAATATTATTTAAGGAAATGTTCAATTTAATTTTTCTTCCCACCTAATCACCTGATCACTACATGTTTATTCCACTGTGAACGTCTATCAAAAATAGGAATATTCAACGACAAAAAAGAAAATTAGAATTAAAATTTTTATTTGAATAATAAGTTCTTGTATATATATCTAGTCTTACCATTTTTAAAAGCTTACATCATGTACATGTATCCAAAAATAAAGAAAAATACTTGTTATACTGAAATCTAATGACAACCATTTTTACCTCTCCTTTAACCAGAAAAATCAATTTAAAACCAGCCCTATCTCAGGTTTACAAAATGTAGTTATTGGACAAGGGGTGTATTCTTCATGTTTTCACATACATGTATGTGTCTGAACAAAAAATAAATATATATAACAAAAAAACTTATATTATGTAGTTGCTTCATGAGATAAGCAATATTAAGTTATTTTATGACAGGCTGTGTTTGTTTCGACAAGGCCAGTGGATATTTAGCAATTTAATGAAACATTTCCCTCAAGGGTCCTTAGAAAACAGATTATGATTTTTATTAAATTTTGATCCTACTCTGATAAGAGATATCAATCGGTTATCTAAGGTCCTATAAATATCTCTGTTTGACAGTTATTTCTACCTGTTTGTTTGCATAATTGTTGTATTGAGTAATTGTGTATTGAATGGAAAATTCTTATGAAGTTTTATATCAAAGAAATCTTATCAGATACGGTAATCTTGATTTAAGACAGATCAAAATGGCTTCAACAAGAAATTCTAACGCTTCAGAATTTTCCAGTAAGGTGAGTCAGGAGAATTAAGTTTTATTAACATTTTTCTACCAAATACAAAGTGTTCATTGCTATTTTTGTCTTTCCTGATCATTCAGTGCAACCCTGCCATTGTCTGTGTAGTTTTCTTTTGTTGCTCCATCTAGCCTTAGTGAAAGGTTAAAGTTCACACTTCTAATATTATTGAATATGGAACACTGAAGACCAGAAATAGGATGACAGTCTGTTGACACCCTACAAACAACTTATATTTCTTTATTTCATCAGATAATCATCATTAATTTACAAGCATAATGTCTTAAAAAAATGTGAGATATCCAGATTCTACCACTGTCCAAATTACATTACATGTACATGTAAATGCAATATTTCTGCACTCTCGAACAATACAGGTGATTGGAAAACTTTTGATGGGCTCTATTTGATAATTTGAAATCTAAAATTCATATGTCTCAATAGTGGCGAACACTGCATGTATCCAACTATATAATAACAAGATACAGATCAGGGATAATATCAATATTTGAATTATGCCTAGCTGATGCAAGACACAGGACTTTCCCATTAATTGTTCATGTAGAGAGTTCCATAGTTTTTGAGCTTTTGTCTTCACTCTCTAATGAATCAAATTATGTAACAAAATTTAAAGAAGGACATTATTTTTAATAGCATACAAGATTTGACAGTGAAGAGGAAAATCAAGTTAATTTGTATGGAAATATAGAAAAACCTGTTTAATATATAAAAACACATACGTTGCTGACATTGCTGAGTCTAATGCTTCAGTATTGACATGGAATAGAGAATGCATCACCAAAACTGTTTACTGTTTAGGCTAGATTTCTTATAGATAGAATAAATCCTTTTCATGTACACTAGCTGTCATGACTGTATTTCTGATAGACAGATAGAATGAAAATTTCATGTAAATAATATAAGTACTTATTAATACCTCCATAACCTAGATTACCTAAGCATGCTAAGTAGAAATATATACAGTTTTATTTATTTTGATAAAAAGTCCCAAGCTATCCATTGCTATAATCATAGAGTAACCGGTGAACCCCAAGGCTTGACTGGGGTATAGAAGTATTGTCACCCCTGGAGGTCTTTCCTTTCAGAAGTAAAACCCTTGCTAAAGAGAAACTTCTGTTTGGCTTTACGGAATGTTTAAATTCACAGCCATGTCAGGTCAGAATGGGGATATAAATACTATATTACGGATTATGAATGTGTCGAGTTTTGTGATTGGTACGTACATTATCACATGATTATTGTCTATATACTTGTAAAATTAAAATATATAAACTTTTTTATGTTTCTACAGTGTCTATATATGTAATTTATTGGTATTTGACAGAAATTATGTATGAAGACTTAGAGCAATTGTAGAATTTCTTTATTGCATAAGCAAAGTAAACCTTATAAAGTAAAGTTTTGTTTATTTTCTCAGGTAAATGACCTGATACCCAAGCCAGAAGAGAGAGATGCTATATTTAGATCTCTGGAAGTTTATCAGCAGTAAGTAAAATATGTCATGTGATAGAAGCATTATAAAATTCAAACAAAATTTAGATCTCTCGTATAGGAATACAATATTATACCCAACAACACAAATAATGTACAGTACTTCTTCCCATGCATATATACAGTTTTATAATTTTTTGTTTATTTTTGCTGAACATTTGAACAACTCAGATATATTGATAATCATTCACTGGTTTCCAAGTTTTTGTTTAAGTGACAACAATTGGGATTTCATAAAAAAAGTCAAATATTAGTCCATTTCAAATTGATCATTAGGAAAAAAGCTGGTTGAGTATAAGCATGTATATATGTGTGAGTATTTTTCATGGACAAATTATATGAAGCCATTTGTCATCTAAACCCAATACAATAGACCATTTTCATATTACTGACTTTTGACTCCGAAGTTTATATTTTTTCAACAGATTACTTACTCTGTGGTAGGACATCCTGGTACCAAGTCAAGTAAGAGCAACGTAAAATAGTAAAATCAAACTTTCAAACGGTACAATTTTTGGGGAATATTAACTGCTTCATGTTTTCTTTACACGACAAAAATCATTGGAAAACAGTAAACTTTCCCCTCAAATTACACCGATTGTATGTTTGTTTTTACTTATTTTGGTTACTCTTACCTGGCCGATCGAGTACCAGGATGCCCTACCACAGAAAAGGTAACCTGTCGAAAAATTATATAATCTGGAGTCAAAAGTTGGTAATATGAAAATTGTCTATTGCATTTGGAATAAGCAGAAAAAGTAATAATATTTCTCTAAAGCTTTGTTTTACTGTCTGTCTCATTAAATTTACAAATTCAATTTGTAAACTAAATACAGGTAGTTATTCTAACATAGAAAGGACCAGATTTGCTTTTGGCAAAATATGGCCTTGAATTTCAACTTTATGATGAAATATACATGATATATGGATCATGAATATCAAAAAGACCTCAATTTGGTTTTTCAAAAGACTTATATTAGGCAAACAAATTGCTTCATAAGAATCCATTAAAAGCTCCAAAGTCAGCATACCTATGACGTCACTTAGTTTAGGGGCCAAAGAAGATAACATCTTTTCGCAGAATTTTCTTTAATGAAAATTTTACACTAAAATAATGACTGAAATTGAATTATGTACTTGTTTTGCATTAGAATAGAGATAACTGTATTGTATTTGAAGCTTTGCGGACGTCCATCGGTAGTTTTACTGTCTCAAATACCCGTTTACCTGTCTCCGCTACGCGTCGCCAGGTAAACTAAATTTGCGACAGTAAAACTACTGATGGACGGCGCAAAGCTTCAAATTCAATACAGTTATCTCTTAATCTCAGCAGTTTTTATGTGAAATTTGAAGTATTTTTTCCAGATTAGAAAAAAAACCATTAAAATCTCAGGACTAATTTTAACCCTTCATAAACTTACACCTTTGCTTGTCTAATGTGTTAATCAGCTTTATTGATACACATATATAGAAATCATAAATGACATGTTAAATTTTACCTGCACAAATTGAAATGACAATTTTCAGTAGACCAGTTCATATGGTTTTTTGACACACAATGTTCTTTAAATTTCTCTATAACTAGCATGGCATGTTGACCTTATAATGTCTTTTCAGGGTTTTTTGTGTTTTTTGGATTACTTTTTCATTGGTACTTTACCCAACCTCTCTGATTACTGATTAATAAATTTTGTTTTTTCTAATGCAGAAATCATGAAAGCTTCATATAGTATTATCAATAAAAACAGAATTTGTTTATCAGCATTATCAACATCATGCACTACATGTACAACTCAGGTAGACCAAACAATTTCACCTGCTTATTGTGGGCGTATAAGATTAGCCATACATTGTTCTGTATATTTTGTTTGTACTATTTGTTTACATGATGTTTCAAGTTTATCCAACACATTGGATTGATAAAACATTGGACATTGCTAGCAAACATTTTAGGTAAAATATTTAAAAAAAAAAGGACTTTGTCTGCTGTGAGCAGGTGGAAGGTTATTTGTATGAGCTGAAAAGTGTTTCAGTTGCAATATTTATGGTTGCTTACTCTCAAATTTGAGGACTATCATGTGTTAATAGATGTAGCCGGTTGAAAAGACATATATTATTTGTTCTCACTAGGGGGCAATTTTTAAAAAATATTTGGCCTCCTTGTTTGTTTTGTGAAATATGTCTTCTGAACCTGGAACATTCCATAAATTGGAATAGCCATTGATGACTGAATACCATCATTGAATATGATTTGTTATTTTACCTTATGCCATGTTTGGTATATATATAAATATACTTTGTTTACAGAACGCTTGATCTTCTCCAACTGGTAGAGGAAATGATGAAGTACATAGATGAACCAACCAAACTAGAGCTATTTGAATATTTGAGGTCAGTAAGGGATGATTGCAAACTTGTACAAAATACTAGCAATTTTTGGACATAGTGTTAAAAAATATTTATACATATTTATTTACAGCAGTAGTATAATATATGCCTTGCAATTGAAAGCATTATGAAAATACAGAGAGAGGCATTTATCAAAATCAGATAACAAAATGTGCTTACATTAGCAAACATTTCCTGGGTTTTTTCAGGATTTTACAGCATTTCCTTGTAGGCTATTTATGGTTTATTGGCCATTTATTGAACTTCCATAAGACATCAAGTAGTAACAACAGAAAATTAGTTGTTATATGGTGATTAAAACTCTGAGTAAGAAGACTATATTTACATTGAATTTAAGTCATTAGGTCAAATACAGTTAAGTATTTCAGTAAAGTTGCCTTTCCTGTTTGAATATTTATTCTCTTTGGCAAGGAAAGATGCTCTTAATTAATATATATTTAGCTTTAGACGGTCAGGTAAGCTGTAGTAAAAACTGTGTGACACTAGTTTCAGTATAAAGGCATTTCAAATTTGTGTCATATTCAGTTTAATCAGATTGCAATTTTCTTTGCAGTTATAAACTGATAAACAAACTTCACTGACAACTGTATAAAAAGTAAATTTGGTGCTTGGGACTTGCAGTGAGATGTGAGCTATTGCTCTGTGTCAAAGACCTTATGCTCCGGGTTTATGAATTGTGGGGAATTTTTGTCATGAATAGAAACCCCATATCCCATCTTTTATATTCTGTATGTATATACAAGGCATATCAAAATCTAAATATGTCATTATACATAAAAAGGGTAGAAATAAATGTAGCACTTACTACAATATGGAGATTGAATACACCCTCATAAAGAGTCATATAAAAAAAGGCACACTGTTCAAAATATCTAGTTTACAAAAATCTCATACTGTATTTCACTCATTCCAAATTTGAGACGATACACTCAACCTCTGATGAGTCGAACCTTGGATAAGTCAAATACTTTTGTCCGGTCCCTTCGACTTTGATATAACAAGGTTTGACTGTACTGGTATATTATTTTATTTTGCTGTATACATTGCTACTTGTGGGTCCAAAAACTATCTGAAAATTGACCAAAATCAATGGATTTGTAAGGACAATATGTATACGGGCCAACTGATTTCAATATGACTTTGAACAGCTGTACTTGTTTTTAATTTTGTATTACCTAAACTTTAAAACAGCTTATTGTTGAAGGCCTATAGTTGTTTATATTTTTGTTTGTTGGTCTCTGGTAGATAGTTCTCTCATTGGCAATCATATCACATCTCTGGTGGATAGTTCTCTCATTGGCAATCATATCACATCTCTGGTGGATAGTTTTCTCATTGGCAATCATATCACATCTCTGGTGGATAGTTCTCTCATTGGCAATCATATCACATCTCTGGTGGATAGTTTTCTCATTGGCAATCATATCACATCTCTGGTAGATAGTTCTCTCATTGGCAATCATATTACATCTCTGGTAGATAGTTCTCTCATTGGCAATCATATCACATCTCTGGTGGATAGTTCTCTCATTGGCAATCATATCACATCTCTGGTGGATAGTTCTCTCATTGGCAATCATATCACATCTCTGGTGGATAGTTCTCTCATTGGCAATCATATCACATCTCTGGTGGATAGTTCTCTCATTGGCAATCATATCACATCTCTGGTGGATAGTTCTCTCATTGGCAATCATATCACATCTCTGGTGGATAGTTCTCTCATTGGCAATCATATAACATATCTCCTTAATTGTATATCAATGGAAACTTTAAATCAAAAATTCAAATTTTAATAAAATATTATAACCAATAAAGCCCTTTAATATAACACGCTGTTCTTAACCCACTTATCTATCTTATCTGTAACTTGTATTTGGCGACTATTTTTTGGAAAGAGGGCGCTGATATCCCGTACTAATTATGTGGTGAATGGAGAATGTGTGCTCTCTCACTATAGCTAAAGATTCTTTCTATTTTCATAAGCAGTTTATAGTGAAGATTCTGATTAGATATGTACTTTTATTTGACTTTAACTATCAAATTAAGCTGAAAAAATACATTGACAAGAAAATGGATGATAATTTTTGTCGATTTAATTGTTTTCATTTAAGTTATATAATGCATAAAGGAGAACTTCTTTACTGAAAAAAGTTAAGATAATAAGAAATGTATTTGTTTCCTCAATAAAGTGCTAATATGTAAATAATGAATACATGTTCAGCTAAATATATACATAAATTGTAATGTCACTTTATAGATCAGAGATAAAACTATTTTTAGATTGATCATTTAATTCCATTTAATTATATGATGTAATTTACAACATAACATCATTTGTATAGCTACTAAATGCATGATCAGTCTGTAGTTTTCCATAATGATACTGTTTCAAAAATTATTTCTGTGCACTATTCGATTAGTGACATGTATGATAATCAAATTAAAAGACAAAAAAAAAATTCTTATTCCATTTCACATTTAAATCTCATTGCTAAACATATGTAGAGACATTTTATTTTTGGGAAATAATTGATGCCTTTTCGGGTTAAACAAGACTTCAGGGGGGAAAAGTTTAAACTATTTTTATACTTTGTACATATTTAGCCATATTAAAAAGAAAAAGATTTTTGAAATATGTTTTTAGGTTTTATTAAAAAAAATATGAGGTCATGAAATTTTTAATATTAAGAACAATCTTTAATAGCATACATTTTTTTTCGATTAGTTCACTGGTAGTCCACAGAATTAGTCTTTTCAAGTTAAATAAGCATAATGAAATCACTGCAAAAATTGCTGTTTACAAAAAAAAAAACTATAAAAAATATAGTTATATGATAAAAAGAAATATAACAAGACAAAAAAAATTACTATTGATTTTTAGTTGGTTCATCTTATCTTGTACTAAATTATTTAAATTCCATTATCTATACTAACATATTTTACAAACATTTTGGATATTTATCGTATTTACACATTAAATATTAAAATTTTCATTACAGAATTCCAGTTTAAAGGACATTACATCTTCTTGTTTTATAAAATTTTAACAACACAAGATTACAAGTCTGCCAATTATCTTTTGTTTCGACTAATCAATTTTTCAGCATTATAATTAAAAAATTAATTATTCATAATATAATCTAGTAGGCTTTGATACAAACTCATCAATTTTTTACAATACAGAATAAAATGTCTTTTTTTGTTAGACAGGTCTAGTAGGTATTATCAAATATTAAAGGCTTTCACATTGTCTATTTGTATAATTTATTGATCTATGCCTGAATGCAATGGCCAAAGTGTTGATTATTTATTTATAGTCTATTAATAGCATTTCATAAATAATTTGGTTGCTTACTATTATGTATATCAATTTACTTTATGAAACTTGAGCAGAAATATTATTCAGAAATAATGCAAAAGAAATATTTTGTATATTGTTAGGAAAGTATAAGGTTTTAAATTTCATACAAATATGAATTTGCCATAATATTTTCATTAATAATATGAAATTTCAGAAACATAATTTTAAGTTTAGGCAGGAAGTAAAATGATAAGGAGGATTTGATTTCTTCATTTTATTGCAGTTAAAATTTTGATTTGAAATTGATTTTAATACAGGCATTGAAAATGATCTTAGTCTACTAACTAAGCTGGCCAGTGTGGTATATTGTTCTTTGTGATGTCTAATTTGACCTCAGATAATTGTCATCTAGATGTCATTTAGTTTTTCACATTTTCATCATCTCCACTTCTGGTCAGTTGAACAAAATTTAGCAAAATCATTATGTTTTAAAAGTTTTTTTTTATAGAATTCTTCATTTTTTTTAGAATAATAATTTGGTTCCCAGTTTTTTTTAGGATATTAACTTGGGTTCCAAGTTTTTTTAGGATATTAACTTGGGTTCCCAGTTTTTTTAGGATATTAACTTGGTTCCCAGTTTTTTAAGATATTAACTTGGTTCCCAGTTTTTTTAGGATATTAACTTGGGTTCCCAGTTTTTTTTTAGGATATTAAATTGGTTCCCAGTTTTTTTAGGATATTAACTTGGGTTCCCAGTTTTTTTTCTTACAAATGATGAGGGGTGGACAGGGGGTCCCTGATTCCAACTTCCCTACCCCCAAGTCCAACCCCCTTACTCACAATTCCCTCCACCCATACCTCTACTTTCCTCCACCTTTACTTCCAGATGAAAAATAATTAAAAAAAAATACCAGAATACATGTATCCCTATTTTTACTCCCCCTTTTCTATAGGTTCCTGCTTTCATCCCTCCTGACTCCCACTTCCCACCCCTCATTCCCTTAACCCTGTCTACCCCCTCAATGATGTCAAATTTTTCCTCTAAATTTATAACTACATATCTAAATAATTTGTTTAAACATTAAAAGGAATTATAACTAAGAGACCCTCTACATAGATTAATAATTTTGCACTGATTAAGTTTCGATACAGACAGTATTATACTGTTAATTAGGTTCAGTCAGTATTGCATATTTGCATCTTATTGGACAATTTCTACCTGACGTACAGTTATACTGTATCCAATAACCTTTTTTTAAAACTTCACATTTTATTCTTGTTGGATGAGTGATTTGCAATGAGTGATTTGCTCTGTTTTTTGTTTGCACCGGTGACCTACACCTTTCCGAACTTTTTCGTACATTATTGAGAGTACAATCTGATGCTGTATATGTTGCCAGTATAACTATACTGTCAGACTGTATATGTACTATCAACTACAACTTTTGTTTTTTGTTGTTATCTTTTTCGTTGGCATAGTCGTCGTCGTTGTCGTCCGAAGACACATTGGTTTTCGCACAATAACTTTAGTTTAAGTGAATGGATCTCTATGAAATTTTACTATAAGGTTCAATACCACAAAAGGAAGGTTGGGATTGATTTTGGGGGTTATGGTACCAACAGTTAAGGAATTAGGGGCCAAAAAGGGGCCAAAAATAAGCATTTTTGTAACTTCCAGACAATAACTTGTGTGTTAGAGTATGGATCTCTCTGACATTGTACCACAAGGTTCCATATCACAAAGGGAATGCTGGGATTGATTTTGGGGTAATTGCCTTAAAATTTTAGAAATTAGAGGCCAAAAAAGGGGCAAAAAACAAGCATTTTTCTAGTTTCATGACAATAACTTATGTGTAAGTGCATGAATCTTTCTGAAATTGTACTACAAGGTTCCATATCACAAAGGGAAAGCTGGAATTGAGTAGGGGGTAATTGCCCTAAACATTTAGGATTAAGGGGCCAAAAAATAAGCATTTTTCTAGTTTCTAGGCAATAACTTGTGTTCAAGTGTATGGATCTCTCTGAAATTGTACTGCAAGGTACCATACCACAAAGGGAAGGCTGTGATTGAGTTTGGGGGTGATGAATCATAAGGGGTTTCAAAAAATTTGGGCGGGGGGATTTTTTTTTCCTCTTTTTTTTTTCTTCCTTTTTTTTCCATTTTAAGTTGGTTATTTCTGATTTATATATAAAAGCAAATAATAATGATATGGTTTGAATAGGTAAATTGAAAATTTTTAAGTTCTTAGACCACATTCATTCTGTGTCAAACACCTATGCTGTGTCAAATATTTAATCACAATCCAAATTCAGAGCTGTTTCAAGCTTGAAGGTTGTATCCATACTTGCCCCAACTGTTCAGGGTTCGACCTTTGCGGTCGTATCAAGCTGCGCCCAGCGGAGCATTTTATTTTGCTGATGAATCCCAATTATTGTCACATTAACAAATTATGTCTGTATGAGTCTTTGCCAATACAACTAAACCAAAAACAACTGTCATACAAGTGGGAGGTATAGCTAGCTATAAAACAAGGTTTAACCCTCCATTTTATTGGGAATATGCCTGTACCAAGTCAGGAATATGCCAGTACCAAGTCAGGAATATGCCAGTACCAAGTCAGGAATATTCCAGTACCAAGTCAGGAATATGCCTGTACCAAGTCAGGAATATGCCAGTACCAAGTCAGGAATATGCCAATACCAAGTCAGGAATATGCCAGTACCAAGTTAGGAATATGCCTGTAAAAAGTCAGGAATATTCCAGTACCAAGTCAGGAATATGCCTGTACCAAGTCAGGAATATGCCTGTTCCAAGTCAGAAATATGCCAGTACCAAGTCAGGAATATGCCAGTACCAAGTCAAGAATATGCCTGTACTAAGTCAGGAATATGCCTGTACTAAGTCAGGAATACAACAGTTTGTTTTCCTTTCATTAATTACCTTTGTTGAAAAAGTCAAGCATTTGATCTTGTCAGGTTTTAAGGTTTTCCCTATTTTTGAAATAAACTTAGAAATTTGATAATTTTGTTTATACTTTTTGTATACATTATGTCATTATACTTACATATATCTACATCTGTACTAGGTGAGGGAAACATAGGCATCTGTACTAGGTAAGGGAAACATTGGCACCTGTACTAGGTGAGGGAAACATTGACACCTGTACTAGGTGAGGGAAACATTGGCACCTGTACTAGTTGAGGGAAACATTGGCACCTGTTCTTGGTGAAGGAAACATTGGCACATGTACTAGATGAGGGAAACATTGGCACATGTACTAGGTGAGGGAAACATTGGCACCTGTTCTTGGTGAGAGAAACATTGACACCTGTACTAGGTGAGGGAAACATTGGCACCTGTACTAGGTGAGGGAAACATTGGCACCTGTACTAGGTGAGGGAAACATTGGCACCTGTACTAGGTGAGGGAAACATTGGCCCCTGTACTAGATGAGGGAAACATTGGCCCCTGTACTAGGTGAGGGAAACATTGGCCCCTGTACTAGATGAGGGAAACATTGGCACATGTACTAGGTGAGGGAAACATTGGCACCTGTACTAGGTGAGGGAAACATTGGCACCTGTACTAGGTGAGGGAAACACTGGCACTTGTACTAGGTGAGGGAAACATTGGCCCCTGTACTAGGTGAGGGAAACATTGGCACTTGTACTAGGTGAGGGAAACATTGGCATCTGTACTAGGTGAGGGAAACATTGGCACTTGTACTAGGTGAGGGAAACATTTGCATCTGTACTAGGTGAGGGTAACATTGGCACCTGACTATGTGAGGGAAACATTTGCATCTGTACTAGGTGAGGGTAACATTGGCACCTGACTATGTGAGGGAAACATTTGCATCTGTACTAGGTGAGGGTAACATTGGCACCTGTTCTAGGTGAGGGAAACATTTGCACCTGTACTAGGTGAGGGAAACATTGGCACCTGACTATGTGAGGGAAACATTTGCATCTGTACTAGGTGAGGGTAACATTGGCACCTGACTATGTGAGGGAAACATTTGCACCTGTACTAGGTGAGGGAAACATTGGCACTTGTACTAGGTGAGGGAAACATTGGCCCCTGTAATAGATGAGGGAAACATTGACACATGTACTAGGTGAGGGAAACATTGGCATCTGTTCTAGGTGAGGGAAACATTGGCACCTGTACTAGGTGAGGGAAACATTGGCACCTGTACTAGGTGAGGGAAACATTGGCCCCTGTAATAGGTGAGGAAAACATTGGCACCTGTACTAGGTGAGGGAAACATTGGCACCTGTACTAGGTGAGGGAAACATTGGCACCTGTACTGGGTGAGGGAAACATTGGCACCTGTACTAGATGAGGGAAACGTTGGCCCCTGTACTAGGTGAGGGAAACACTGGCACTTGTACTAGGTGAGGGAAACATTGGCACATGTACTAGGTGAGGGAAACATTGACACATGTACTAGGTGAGGGAAACATTGGCACATGTACTAGGTGAGGGAAACATTGACACATGTACTAGGTGAGGGAAACATTGGCCCCTGTAATAGGTGAGGGAAACACTGGCACCTGTACTAGGTGAGGGAAACATTTGCACCTGTACTAGGTGAGAGAAACATTGGCACCTGTACTAGGTGAGGGAAACATTGGCCCCTGTAATAGGTGAGGAAAACATTGGCACCTGTACTAGGTGAGGGAAATATTGGCACCTGTACTAGGTGAGGGAAACACTGGCACCTGAACTTTTCTATATAATTGTATAAGAAAGTTTAAAACTACTCAGCATACTGTTACAAATTATTTCTTAGTAATTAAGCCTCATGGGTGGAAGTCTTTGACCTCAATTTCATTCATTAATGATTTTATAAAATCTGCACCCAGATTTCATCGTGAAAACACATCATTAATATTTGGTAAACAGATCAATTTTTTAGGGAAGATGTTAGTCTGACCCTTTTTCCCATAAAAGTGCAGTCTGAGCTATTGCTATGACCTCGCATCAATCTTTCTCCTTTGTCTGTCGTTGAGAACAAGTCTGAGCTATTGCTATGACCTCCCATCAATCTTTCCTCCTTTGTCTGTTGTTGAGAACAAGTCTGAGCTATTGCTATGACCTCCCATCAGTCTTTCCTCCTATGTCTGTCATTGAGAACAAGTCTGAGCTATCGCTATGACCTCCCATCAATCTTTCCTCCTTTGTCTGTCGTTGAGAACAAGTCTGAGCTATTGCTATGACCTCCCATCAATCTTTCCTCCTTTGTCTGTTGTTGAGAACAAGTCTTAGCTATTGCTATGACCTCCCATCAATCTTTCCTCCTATGTCTGTCATTGAGAACAAGTCTGAGCTATTGCTATGACCTCCCATCAATCTTTCCTCCTTTGTCGGTCGTTGAGAACAAGTCTGAGCTATTGATATGACCTCCATCAATCTTTCCTCCTTTGTCTGTCATTGAGAACATTACAGTCATATGATTTCAGTCTTGAGTTAAACTTTTCTCATATCATTGCTGGTCTCAAATAATGAGTTTTATTGTTTTTTCCCATGAGTGTGAGGTATTCCACTTGCTGTTATTTATTAAATATGCCGCATGTTGGTTCCCGAGCACAATTGTATCAATAAACAAGAGCAAGTAAAAGGTTTGAATGTAATCAGACAGACGGGCCGCAGCAGCCAACAGTTTCCGTGCAATAACTTATGAATCTTTCAACCAATGCTTTTCAAATTTTAATATCTTGATACTCAAGACAAAATGGAGGTCAAGTTTGATATTGACGATTTTCACTTTTACCGCTCAGGAGTTCTTAATGGTCGTTGATATATTTGAAAATGGCACTTTATGTTGTTTCCTTTCAATAACTTAAGAACCCCTTCCATCCCCAGTTTACAAATAATAATATGTTGTTAGTGATGACAAAATGGAGGTCGACTTGAAAATTGACAATTTTTCCTTTTACCGTTCAGGAGTTGGTCTATTGGAAAATGGCACTTTAAGTGGTTTTTGTGCAATTTCTTATGAACCAATTGACCAATGCTTTAAAAATTTTAATATGTTATTACTGATGAAAAAATGGAACTCATGTTAGATATTGATGTTATTTTTTACTTTTGCAGTCAGTGAGTTATGGGTCTGATTTTATGTCATTACTTTGCAATTACTTATATTGACCGTTCAACAAATACTCTTAAAATTTTGATATGCTGTTACTCAGACAACAAAATGGTGGTCAAATTTGAAATTGATGATTTACATTTTTGTCGTTCAGGAGTTGTGGTTCTTGAAAGATTGAAAAATAGGCATAAAATGTCGCAGGTCAAAAAATCCTGAAAGCACCTTTGAAAATACAGAAAACCCAGTTTACTGTCAATTTGACAGCTCACTCCTTGTCTAATAACTGTTGGACTCCTCCCTTTATAAACAACAAAAGCTTTTATTAGACCAATATTATTAATAATTGTTTGGGGAATAGTGGTTTCCATATAATGATTAAAAATAAACCTTATCTTGGCAATAAAATTTGAAGAAACAAAATTAATATGCTACTTTATTTGATGCAGTCTTGCATATGTCCATGTATTATTCAAAGTTTTTTAATTGACTTTTCAATGTTGTTGTAATTGAGTTTATCTAGTAAATGTCAAGGTAATCATAAAGAAATATAATGTTTGTTTTGCTTTATTATATTTTAATATTTACCATGCTTTTAATTGCTAAATGCACCTTTGAATAGGAAATTGCTTTGTAAAATATAACTAACTGGTATCTCTATAATCATCACTTCAAATACTGTCAATTCAGAAATGATAGTTTTATTACGTGTATTGTGATGAGATATTTGTCGAACAGATAAAAACTAGTATTTTGAATTTGATAGCATTATTTTGTTTGCAGTATTTCCTAAAATAGCAATAATCAAACATGCTTTTGTGTCCATTGTCCCAACAATCACAATAAGAAAAAAGTAAAATAACAAAAATAACGAAGGTAGGGTAGGAGGAGTGGGTACAGGGTCTTTGCATCAGAAATAAACACATTTATTCTAAAACCAGTTGCTGGCATGATACAGGTTATGTTCTTCTCATATATTTTATGATGTTATGATATTAAACCCCTAACAGGAGGGATTGTGCTTGATTTTCATATGATGAAGACATAATCTTTCAATCAGTTTAATTGAGATCTGGAGCTGGCATGTCAGTAACTGCTAGTAGTCCTTTGTTAATTTATGTATCATTGTCATTTTGCTTAGTTTCTTCTGTTACCTATTCTGACATCGGACTCTGACTTCTTTTAAACTGAGTTTTACTGTGCGTATTGCTGTGTGTTTGTTTTTTCTACATTGGCTAGAGGTATAGGAAGAGGGTTGAGATCTCACAACACATATTTAACATTGCTGCATTTTTGCGCCTGTCCCAAGTCAGGAGCCTCTGGCCTTTGTTAGTCTTGTATGTTTTTTTTAATTTTAGTTCTATCATATGTTTCTGAGTTAAGTGTTACGTCCATTTTCACTGAACTAGTACACATTTTTGTTTAGGGACCAGCTGTAGCCTGCCTCTGGGTGCGAGATTTTCTCGCTATGTTGAACACCCATTGGTGGCCTTCGGCTGTTTTCTGCTCTTTGGTCGGGTTGTTGTCTCTTTTGACACATTTCACATTTCCATTCGCAATTTTACCTATAATGTGTGATCCATCCAAACCCCTTAAACTCCACTGAAAGATTACACACATGTTGAAGTTGAGCACATCCTGTTTAGGTTGTGCGCACATTCTATTATTGAAATGGTTGTGGAATTTTCCCCAATTTGTCCTGACTTGGGAACTAAGTGATTTTTCAGCTCCAATGGTACAGGTCTATTTTTGTTTCAAACCAGTTTTTGAGAACTTTATATGTAAAGTTTCCAAACCTATTCCGTCTATGAAGTGAGGATGATTTATTTTTATCAATGTCACCAAAGAAACATTTCCTGACACTAAAATTCACCACAGAAAGTGGGTAAAGACAAAATATCATTAGAGGTTTTACTTTGAAAATAGACAAAGACAGGGGAAATGTACCAAAGGGACATTCAAACTCATTAGTCTATAAATAAACTAACAAAGCCATGGTAAGAAATGAAAAAAGACCAAAACACAACATAGAAAACTATTAAGACTGAGCAACATGAACCCCACCTAAAACCATCGTTGATCTCAGGTGCTCCGGAAGGGTAAGCTGATCCTGCTCCACAATTATTTTTTTGTATTACAAATAATCCAATGTAGGTTTATTACATCTTGTCATTACTCAAATAATTTACATTTAACACTTGATAACAGTTTTTATACGACTGCAAAAAATTTTGCTGTTGTATATTGGTATCACGTCGTCGTTGTCGTCTTCCGAAGACATTTGGTTTCCGGACAATAACTTTAGTATTAGTAAATAGAAATCTATGAAATTTAAACATAAGGTTTATAACCACAAAAGGAAGGTTGGGATTTATTTTGGGGGTCATGGTCCCAATAGTTTAGGAATTAAGGACCAAAAAGGGGCCCAAATAAGCATTTTTCTATTTTCATGACAATAACTTGTGGAACAATGTATGGATCTCTCTGAAATTATACCTCAAGTTTCCATACCACAAGGGGATTGTTAGGATTGGCTTTGGGGGGTTATGGCTCAAACCGTTTAGGAATTAGGGGCAAAAAAGTGAGAAAAAACAAGTGTGTCCTGGTTAATGGACAATTACTTAAGTACAAATTACAGTGTAAGGGAGGTAATTCAATCACAACTTTGAATTACCTCCCTTACACTGCTTTTGAATTATATATTAAGAATTTTTGTATTGTCTTGAGGTGATTAGCTGTCAATTCATTTTTAGAAGTTACTATTTTAATAATTTCAAAAATGCTGATTAAGGTAAATTAATTTTAGCTATGATTATGTATGTCATTTTCTATTTTAAGACTTTTATGATGTATTTAAATGGGTTATTGTGGTTGCAAACTCCTTTGGAAATTTAAATTGAAATTATGACCATGACTGAGGGAAAGAAATTTTTTTTTGAAAAAGGGGGTGGGTTGGTGGGGAGGTTAAAAAAAAATTGGGAGGGGGGGAGGTAAAAAAAAATTGGTGGTGGGGGGTGGGGGGCAATTTTTTCTCCTCAAGATTTCATAAATCAAAAAGAAAATCCTTCAAATTTTTTTTTTTTTGAAAAAAAGGGGGGGGGGGGGGGGGGAGAGGTCAATTTGCAACAGCATAGTTTATTGCATAAAAGCAAAAAATTGAATATAAATTCAAATCATATAACCAATTCTAAGTTCTTTGACTACAGCTATTCTGTGTCAGAAACCTATTATGTGTCAAATATTGAATTACAATCCAAATTCAGACCTGTATCAAGCACGAATATTGTGTCCATTTTTGCCCCAACTGTTCAGGGTTGGACCTCTGCGGTCGTATCCAGCTGCATTCGGCGAGGCAATTTATTCTTTATCTGCAATCAAGATGAAATATTAAAAGCAAGTATGTTGGTTGTACAAGTCTGATAAATGGGAGGTTGAAGGCTAATGGCTGCCATATGAATCAAGTTATGGCATAAGGTAAAGACGAAATTGTAGTTTCTCTTCACAGAAAAAGAATATTGTATTAATTTGTATTACTCTTAGTACATAGAGTTATATGTAGTCATACAGATCAACTTATGGCATAATCTAAAGACAAAAATGTTGCTCCTCCTTACAGAAAAAAGAATATTGTATTAAAATTGAGAATGGAAACAGGGAATTTGTCAAAGAGACAACAACCCAACCAAAGAGCATAAAACAGCCCAAGGCCACCAATGGGTCATCAACACCTGTAGGCGGGCTTCAGCGGGCTCCTAAACAAAAATGTGTACTAGTTCAGTGAAAATGGACGTCATTTATATAACTCTGAGTGCATACAGTTCTATGTATTATTATTTGATTGTTTAAGTTCACACTTAATTTATCAGTCATGCTGAATAAATAATAAAAGGAGATGTGTTATTGGTTTCTATCAGATATATTAAATGATAATGAGTGCAATCCTTAAGGAATACAGACCCACAACTTATACCATATCTAATGGTTTATCTGTTAATTATTTAAAATAATATCATACCATATTGTGTAATTTGAAAGAACTGTGTGTCTAATTAAAAAAGTAAATATCATTTTGAATTGAAGTAAATCATCCTGCAAATGTAATATTTCAGTGAGGTTATATTATTATTAACCAAATGAATTTTAGTATTTAATTTAAAATGAAGCATTTAAGGTTAGGTTGTTAATTATGCATGCCTTTTATGATTTAGTTCTGATGTCCTTAAAACTTCAAAACAGTTATGAATAGTTTGACAAACTCTCTGGTCATTTGGAATTATAAGTACCCAAGTGGAGCATAAAAAAAAACAACCCTAAATTATAAAAAAATAAGATCTTAATAATGTCAATTAGAGTGAATCTGCCCTAAACTTGATGAGTTTTCATAAAGATATTAAATGAAAATAATTTCAGCATTTTAATAATCAAATTGTATTCTTATTTGTGAATATTGCAATAACATGTTTCATGTATAAAGTAGACATTTTTAAGTAAAATCAATCTTGGCTCTTCAAATTGGCAAAATGTGTGGCTGTGTTAAAAAGAGCAAAATTTGAATAAAATCAGAATGACAATAAAAAAATAAAAAAGATATTAAGACTTTTACAGTCAGTATTTCAATTGTTTTTATAAGTGCAGAAATGTGGTTCTGTTAATATGTTTTTCTTCAAATTTTTAACTCAGTTTGTGAAAGTTAGTAAGGGTTTCAGCCCACACATTAAAGAATTTGCTCTCATAAATTTGATGTGTAGTATGACATTGATACAAGAAAACTGCAGGTATATTACATGTTGTACATACATTTTTTCTCAAGCATTATGAAAATTTATATGTCTAAGAATATCAAGTTATATTTAATGAATAATTTTTCATATATCATATTCATTGATGTCTTTGTACATCTTCTTTTAACAGATCAGGTATAAGGTCTCCACTGGCGGGATGCTAAATGTTATGGGCAGTTTTCATGAATAACTGTTGTCTTACAAACCCAAAAATTAGTCTTTCATAAAATTTCTTTGAATTTATATGGTTTGTGAGGCAAAATTCAGGAAAATTTAAGGGGCTAGACAACATTTTTATTGGCCAAGTCTGTAGGGCTTGTGGTAAGTCTCAAAGACTAACCATTTTTCCAATCAGGTCTTCTTTTAATAATTGATGCTTCATGTCTAACTATTCTCACCTTTTTTCAGGCCACTCATTCCTCCAAAGCATCAGGTAGAATATGACAAGTTGGCACCTCCACCTGCAGGACAAAAGTTAAGAGTTGTTAATCTACGGAGACGACAGAATGAAAGTCTGGGGTTTGCAGTAAGAGGAGGTAATTCAATACATTTAATATGGAGTTAAAATTATTTTACTACACCTTTTCATAAGATTCCATATATATGTATGCACAAAAAAAGGAAAACAAAGAAAAGAAAAACAAAAAGCCTAACAACAAAACAACAAAACAACAAAGATTTTGTACCATCACAAAAACTATGATGTCCTTATGTATCATAGCAAGGTCTTTTTTGTCTGTTAAGAATAACATTCTAATGTAGATAGTGAATTTTTACTTTTTAAATAGGGTGTTGAAAAGTTTGCATGGACTTTAACTTTTTCTTTTTCTCCAAATCCACAGAAAAAGAAGAATTTAAAAGAAACTTTATTTATATAATATCCATATAAGGGAACCCTGTTTGAAGTAGTATTACCTTGTTATAGGCTTGAGATCTTTAAACCTAAGGAAGGACCTTTAATGTATTTTATTTTCTCTTACTAGCCTTTAAACTTGCTGGGGCCATGGGACTTTTTTATGGATTAAAATTAAAAAGGAATTTAAGCAAATTTAAAAAAAGTTTTTTTTGTTCAGAGCAATCTCTGACTGCTGTAGGTATACTAAAGGTATAGCTGTTTTAGAAAGGAACAGCTAATCAAAAGTAAAGTGGTTCAATTTGGCTTATTTAAAAAATTCTCAAGAAGGAAGGCTTAAAATCTATCTACTGAAAGTGTATGCTGCTCAAATGACTTTTTTTGTCAGTAATTATCTGTTGTAAAGTTAAAGGGTAAAGAAAAAGGATAAAAAAAGTTATACATTAGAAAGAGTACTAAAAACTGAACAGAGAAATGAACTTGATATAAACCATTTCACACTTACTTGCAATCCTCCTGTTATAAGTCAAACTATTGTACCACTAGCCTGTCAACACTGAGGTTGTGAGTTCAAATCCCACATGTGGCTGGTGCGCTCTACTCCAATCTTAATTGACTTGGGTTATCAGTTTTCGTACCAAAGGTCGGTGGTCAGGGCACTCCAGTTTCCTCCAGCAATAAAAAATTGACCGCCACATTAAATAACACCATAGTGCTGAAAGTGGCGTCAAACACCAATCAATCAATCAATCCTGTAATAATATATTCCAATAAAATTACAGTGCAGGTAACATACATTGTAACTCCATACTGATCCAACGGATAAACGCTGTAATACATTTCTTAGACTTTAGCACTGTAAATACTACTAATTTGATAATCCTAAATGTGCATTTATTTGTGCAATTTTGACTGTCTCTGTGTTCTCATGGTAGCATCCTCGCATCAAATGCAGGAGGTCATGGGTTCAAAGTGCAAAGACTGGTCAGCTGGGGATCAGAATAATATATGAGCTATAGTTCTTTGACAATCTGGCTCAGTATGCCAGTCTAGTGCAGTTCTAATCCTGATTATTCATTCAGATTGCTGCCAGACATTAAACAACCATTCATCATCATTAATGTAATTTTTTATCAATGTACCAAAATGTGAGATTATTTATAGTGACTTCTGGATGATCTGCACACATATAATGAAATATGGATTTAAATGACAATTTTAAATTAATCCATGGTAATTATCCTTGCACAATTAATAAAAAAAATAAGAAACGTTTTTGAATTTACAGTTCTTTGTTCTGATGAATGATAGTCAAATTATTTAACAAAGACTGTGATATTAGTAAATCAGTAGAATTTTATTTTTCAGGATTTGAACATGGTATTGGAGTGTTTGTTTCTCAGATTACACCAGGATCTCAGGCAGATATACAAGGGTTAAAGGTTATTGTTATACTGTTACACATATCTTGTCACTGAAATAAGAAGTGAAGAATTTGCTGTAATTATTTTCTTAACAGCAAGCACTTTTGTTTATTTCAAAAGGCACCTGCTCAAAATATGAATAAAGGGATATATTGGGCATATGTCAGGGATATCACTTATGATCCAGCTTTATACAGTTTATCTTTACCTTTAAACATACAAAAACAAATGTATGTTCTTCAATTAGGGGATGTAATGTATTGGTTGATTATAAGAGGCCAGTGGCAAGCATTACAGGCATATTCAGAACGTTTAGAATTTGTTTTTTGTTTGTTTGACTTCTTTGCCATATAGAGTCTCATACTCAATTCCGTAATGGGATTACTAGGACTTTCTTTATTTTAAAAATAATTCACAGTTAAAATATGCTTTTAAGTGGCTATGATATAAATCACTAGACTAGAAAATTGTTTTTTGTGTTTTTTTAAAATATTATGATGTTTTTCAAATTATTTTGATATCATTACAATTTAAAGAGAATTTTAGATTGAACTGAATTATTCACCTGTTTTGGATCAAAGTTATCAGTTATGAAAATCTATGAATATTTGTCCAATTCATTATGACCAAGATATGTACTCATGCTTTTGTAAGTTGATTTGTTCACTGAATGAGAACATCTACACAATATATGTTTAAGTGTTGTGACCTTTCTAGTTATACAATTAATATAAACACTAAAAACATTCTTATCTTTACATTTAGAAAAAATATTTTTACCTAATTCTCTGTCTGCCATCTTGGGACTGCAGTTACGGACATCAGCTTAACCTAAGTGAATATAAGGAGCAATCATTTGATAGCCAAAATTGAGGAAGGGGGTGGTTGAATATAAATGAAAAAAATGGCATCATCATATATATATATGAACAGAAAATATTTTTGCATATATAAAAATAGACAGAAAAATTTCTAGGACCAGGATATTTCTATAGTATCTAAAAATTACAAAATGGACAGGTAGATGAAGAAAGAGAAATTGATAGGAAAAAAGAAAATGTAAAGAAACTATGTAAGAATAAACTTTGTGCTGTATAACAAGTTGATCAATGTTTATTTTGTATAACACAATGAGAAATAAAATTAGACAGTTGTTGGAATTTGTTCATGGTTTTAATCTAGTAACCCTGAAACGTACATATAGTAGCTTTGTTAGAAATAGAGAGATAGATGATGTTCCTTTTTAGCTCACCGGGGCCCAAAGGGCCCCATGTGAGCTTATGCCATCACTTGGCGTCCGTCGTCGTCCGTCGTCTGTCGTCGTCGTCGTCGTAAACTATTTCAAAAATCTTCTCCTCTGAAACTACTGGGCCAAATACCTTCAAACTTTAACTAAATGTTCCTTAGGGTGACTAGTTTATAAATTGTATCCGAAATTTTGATCCATCGACAAACATGGCCGCCATGGCTAAAAATAGAACATAGGGGTCAAATGCAGTTTTTGGCTTATATCTCAAAAACTAAAGCTTTTAGAGCAAATCTGACATGGGGTAAAATTGTTCAATTGGTCATGATCTATCAGCTCTGAAATTTTCAGACGAATCGAACAACCCATCGTTGGGTTGCTGTCACCGAATTGGTAGTTTTAACAAAATTTGGCAGTTTTTTGTTATTATTTTGAATATTATTATAGATGGATATAAACTGTAAGCAGCAATAATGTTCAGCAAAGTAAGATCTACAAAAAAGTTAATATGACCATAATTGTCAATTGACCCCTTAAGGAGTTATTGCCCTTTAAAGACAATTTTACACAATTTGTTCATCAAGTTTGCTAACATTTAAAAATCTTCTCCTCTGAAACTACTGGGCCAATTACCTTCAAACTTTAACTAAATGTTCCTTAGGGTATTTTGTTTATAAATTGTATCTGAAGTTTGTATCCATCGACAAACATGGCTGCCATGGCTAAAAATAGAACATAAGGGTCAAATGCAGTTTTTGGCTTATATCTCAAAAACTAAATCTTTTAGAGCAAATGTGACACGGGGTAAATTGTTTAATTGGTCAAGATCTATTGGCCCTGAAATTATCAGACGAATTGAACAACCCATTGTTGGGTTGCTGCCACCGAATTGGTAGTTTTAACAAAATTTTGCAGTTTTTTGTTATTATTTTGAATATTATTATAGATATATATAAACTGTAAGCAGCAATAATGTTCAGCAAAGTAAGATCTGCAAAAAAGTTAATCTGACCAAAATTGTCAATTGACCCCTTAAGGAGTTATTGCCCTTTAAAGACAATTTTACACAATTTGTTCATCAAGTTTGCTAACATTTAAAAATCTTCTCCTCTGAAATACAGGTGAGCGATTCAGGCTCTTGAGAGCCTCTTATTTCAGGTTTGAATTGAAATACAGGTGAGCGATTCAGGCTCTTGAGAGCCTCTTGTTTCAGGTTTGAATTGAAAAAGTCAAGTGAAGGAAATATTATTACTGAAGCTTGAAGAAAAGAGTGGCTATATAAAGCTGTTATTTTTTTTTTCAGGTTGGAGATGAAATTGTCAGAGTCAATGGATTTACTATTGCTGAAGCAATCCATGAGGAAGTCCTGAATCTTATCAAAACGTATAATCAGATAGAACTAAAAGTCACAAGTAAGTCACTATAGAATATATATATCTGGGGGAAAATTATTAAAAGTTATCATGAGATAGAACTCAAATTCCCTTTAGCCCTTGGTTTCCTAACCTGGTCAAGCAATTTAGTTAAACCTGCAACATTTGTTTGCAGAAGCAAGACAAAGAGATCCTTATTCCAGTGTTATTAGCATCATCAACATTTAGGTTAATTCAGTCTGTGGTTTCTTTTTTAGACATAGACATAAATAACTTTGTAAAACCTTCATACAGATTTACAAATCTTGGACAGAAGCTCTTTTATGCTTTACCTTTAAACTTACAAAAGCAAATGTATTTCCTTCAATTTGTTGATGTAATGTATTGGTTGATTATTATATGCTTACCAACCAGTAGCAAGTATTACAGGCATATTCAGAATGTTTAAACTTTGGTATTGTTTGTATGACTTCTTTCCCATATACAGATTCATACTTCAATTCCTTTATGGATTGCTAGGACTTTTTAATTTTGAAAATAATTCACTGTTAAAATATGCTTTTTAGCTCACCTGGCCCGAAGGGCCAAGTGAGCTTTTCTCATCACTTGGCGTCCGTCGTCCGGCGTCGTCCGGCATCGTCTGGCGTCGTCCGTCGTCGTCCGTTGTCGACGTTAACTTTTTACATTTTGAACTTCTTCTAGAGAACCACTGAATGGAATGAAACCAAACATGGCATGCATGTTACTTATGAGGTGCTGACCAAGTGTTGTTACTTTGTAGCCGATCCATCATCCAAGATGGCCGCCAGCGGGGGACTTAGTTTAACATAGGACCCTATGGGAAATGCATACAAATGACTTCTTTTAGAGAACCACTGTATGGAATGAAACCAAACAGTGCATGAATGTTCCTTATGAGGTGCTGACCATGTGTTGTTACTTTGTAGCCGATCCATCATCCAAGATGGCCGCCATCGGGGAACTTAGTTTAACATAGGACCCTATGGGAAATACATACAAATGTCTTCTTTTACAGAACCACTGAATGGAATGAAACCAAACATGGCATGAATGTTCCTTATGAGGTGCTGACCAAGTGTTGTTACTTTGTAGCCGATCCATCATCCAAGATGGCCGCCAGTGGGGGACTTAGTTTAACATAGGACCGTATGGGAAATACATAAAAATGTCTTCTTTTAGAGAACCACTGAATGGAATGGAACCAAACATGGCATGAATGTTCCTTATGAGATGCTGACCAAGTGTTGTTACTTTGCAGTCGGTCCATAATCCAAGATGGCCGCCAGCGGGGGACTTAGTTTAACATAGGACCCTATGGGAAATACATACAAATGTCTTCTTTAACAGAACCACTGAATGGAATGAAACCAAACATGGCATGAATGTTCCTAATGAGGTTCTGACCAAGTGTTGTTACTTTGTAGCCGATCCATCATCCAAGATGGCCTCCAGCGGGGGACTTAGTTTAACATAGGACCGTATGGGAAATACATAAAAATGACTTCTTTTAGAGAACGAATAAATGGAATGGAACCAAACATTGCATGAATGTTCCTTATGAGATGTTGACCAAGTGTTGTTACTTTGCAGTCGGTCCATCATCCAAGATGGCCGCCAGTGGGGGACTTAGTTTAACATAGGACCCTATAGGAAATACATACAAATGTCTTCTTTTAGAGAACCACTGAATGGAATGAAACAAAACATGGCATGAATGTTCCTTATAAGGTGCTGACCAAGGGTTGTAACTTTGCAGTCGGTCCATCATCCAAAATGGCCGACAGCGGGTGACTTAGTTTATCATTGGACCCTATGGGAAATACATACAAATGTCTTCTCTTAGAGAACCACTGAATGGAATGAAACCAAACATGGCATGAATGTTCCTTATAAGGTGCTGACCAAGTGTTGTTACTTTGCAGTCGGTCCATAATCCAAGATGGCCGCCAGCGGGGGACTTAGTTTAACATAGGACCCTACGGGAAATACATACAAAATGTCTTCTTTTAGAGAACCACTGAATGGAATGGAACCAAACATGGCATGAATGTTCCTTATGAGATGTTGACCAAGTGTTGTTTCTTTGCAGCCGATCCATCATCCAAGATGGCCGCCAGCAGGGGACTTAGTTTAACATAGGACCCAATGGGAAATACATACAAATGTCTTCTTTTAGAGAACCACTGAATGGAATGAAACCAAACATGGCATGAATGTTCCTAATGAGGTGCTGACCAAGTGTTGTTACTTTGCAGTCAGTCCATCATCCAAGATGGCCGACAGCGGGGACTTAGTTTAACATAGGACCCTATGGGAAATACATACAAATGTCTTCTTTTAGAGTACCACTGAATGGAATGAAACCAAACATGGCATGAATGTTCCTTATGAAGTGCTGACCAAGTGTGGCTACTTTGTTGCCGATTTACTGTTCAAGATGGCCACCAGGATATTTTATTAAATAACGGGACCAATATTAATCCAAATTTGGCCTCAATCATTATTTGGGTATCTGTTATGATTTTTATCTATCTTTACATGATTTCTAAAACCAAAGTAGAGTCAGGTGAGCGACACAGGCTCTTGAGAGCCTCTAGTTTAGGGTTATGATATAAATCGCTAGTCTAGAAAATTGTTTTTGTCTTTTTTTAAAAATTATTATGATGTTTTTCAAACTATCATGACATAATCACTACAAATAAAAGACAATTTTAGAGTTAACTAAATTATTAACCTGTTTTGGGATCAAAGTTATCAGTTATGAAAATCTATGAATATTTGTCATTTTCATTATGGCCAAGATATCATCATGATCTCATGTTTTTCAGATCAAAATTGTGAAAATATTTTTTTTCTAGTTTTTCAATATTTTTCTGGTAAATGGGCCTTGGTTTTTTTTTACAGTTAACATTAAATACAGTCGTATTTTTGACATATAGCTCTTCAAAGGTTTCGGTACTTATACATCCTCGGATTTTAAATGTTTGGCTTTGAGCGTTCCTGATGAAGGTAAATCCAGAAAAGTGCTTCGGACACATGAAATTATTAAACGTGTTGTTTTCAATTTTTCAAAGGTTAAAGTTTACAATTTTTTATTCATCAGTCCAAATTTATATAACTTTAAACATTGCAGTTTAATGTTATGAATAAGCATTTTTCTGCTAAAAAAATTATTTGTTGCTGTCAGGGTAACAGTAATATTATTTCTCCTTGAGAATAACTATTAAAAAACCTTGGACAACTTGGTAACTACTGGTGTAAGACCCTATGTTTCAAACTTAATGTGAAGAATACCTTAGTTTAAATCAGCTTTATAAAAGTCAAAGAAATGAATTGTAAAAAATCATTGAGGATTTGTATGAATTAAGTAATAGAAGTAAATTTTCATGATATGACATTGTTTTCTAAATTGAACTTCAGCTGTAGTTATTGTCAAAATATTTAAAGGTAAAACCATTTGGAACGATCTGTCATGGGCCTAATTAGAACAATTTATGGCAAATAAGATCATCCAGGGAAGATGGTTGCTGTGTTTTGCTACATCTCATAATTTAAGAAAAACAACAGTGTGAATTAAGAATAGTTTAGTTTAAATGTTTTTTGAACGTTAGCTTATCCAACATGTGATGAATAATGTTTGTGTATTTGATAATGTTATGATAGGGTTTGATCTAATTAGTGTTTGATAGTATGCTTTTATTAAAATCTGAACTTATAGAAATTGATTTTTTTTGTAGACATTGGAATGCTTCCCGTCAGAGAGTAAGTAGTGTAGTATTTACATGTAGTAAAAAAAGGACTTTGTTGTTGATTGGTTACACGGATAGTCAATAACTTGCCCTCATAAAAAATAAAACCAAAAATAATGTAGGATTTTTTGCTTCTTAAGCACCATCCACATCATTGCTATTGTTGCCTGTAGGCAATTAAAAAATGTCTCATAATTTATTGCACTTACTCCTTTTACAGCAACAAAACATAACACTCAGTAATCAATTGCTCCTAGCAGTTTCTTAAGAAATTTTTTAAAAAATGCCAGTGTTTTCAACATTGTAAATAGTATTCATTTTTACACAATTTGAAAACCTTATATGATGATCACTTTACATTACCATCAACTCAGACATTTTTATGAATATAAAAATAAGAAGATGTGGTATGCTTGCAAATGAGACAACTCTCCACAAGAGACCAAATGACACAGAAATTAACAACTGTAGGTCACCTTTCGGCCTTCAACAATGAGCAAAGCCCACACCCCATAGTCAGCTATAAAAGGCCTCGAAATGACAAATGTAAAACAACTCAAACAAGAAAACTAACAGCCTGATTTATGTACAAAACAATGAACGAAAAACAAATATGATATACAGCAACAAACGACAACCACTGAATTACAGGCTCCTGACTTGGGACAGGCACATACAGAATGTAGCGGGGTTAAACTTGTTTGAAGGCGCCAACCCTACCCTAACCTGGGACAGTGGTGTAACAGTACAACATAAGAACAAACTATAAAAATCAGTTGAAAAAGGCTTAATTCATCAGATGGATACAAATAGAAATACATCTAACAAAAACACAGAGTGGACATGGCTGGTACTTATATATCCCCACAACAAAATGACACAAAGTACAGATCTGAGAGTACTTGCAGTTACGTATACTGACAGCTAGTTCAAAGCCAATAACAACTCATAAAAATAATCATGCATCTAAGACTAAAATATCAATCAGTATACATCCAACATCCAATGGATTTAGTGTAAATATTTGTGAGCATTTTTTATTGCGATTTTAGTAAACATTGTAACAAATAATGCTATCAAGAATTAAAATGAAAGTTTCTATTTTTGTGATGTCTCTTCTGTAGCATTTTCATAAAAATAAAAAACAACACAAAAATTTACATTATATGATTTTAAGATATATCCATTTTATTTGTAGTAAAGCTGAACATGATGTTACATGGAGATATGTAGAAAAACAGGCTTCAAAGAGAAGATCGGTAAATTAAGTTTTATAATATAATGAATAAAGTTTTGAAAAATACATGAGACAAAACCGTTTCAGAAATGAATTCAATGAATCATAAGGATTAACAAGACTGGAAATATATAACAAGACTGGAAGTATTTAACAAGACTGGAAATATGTAACAAGACAGGAAATATGTTACAAGACTGGAAGTATGTAACAAGACTGGACTTGTGTAACAAGACTGGAAATATGTAACAAGACTGGACTTATGTAACAAGACTGGAAGTATGTAACAAGACTGGACATATGTAACAAGACTGGACTTATGTAACAAGACTGGAAATATGTAACAAGACTGGAAATATGTAACAAGACTGGACTTATGTAACAAGACTGGAAATATGTAACAAGACTGGACTTATGTAACACGACTGGAAGTATGTAACAAGACTGGACATATGTATTATAAATCTCCATTGAAATTAATACAGAATTCAAGGGTTGAATTGTGTGGATAGTTTAGGTACCTTAACAGATCAGCTGATCACCACATTGGAAGGGGTTGCAGACTTACTTAGATTGTAGTGGAAAACTGCTTGAAACACTTGAACTATTGACATCATACAACAATCACTTTTGCATTGCTGCATCAAACATTTTCTCTTATGATGTCAACATTTTATGGGAACCTCTGTTATGGTCAATAATTTCGAACAAATAGAGATAAGGTTTATTTATTTACTAGCGTATGAATTACTTGCCAAGGACCAATGTGTTTTGCTCTGCAAAGCATTTGAAATTGTACAAAAGAATTAAATGACAGAGTTACATCAGTTTTCTCTGTAGGGTCTTTTATCAACAGGAAAAGTATACCCTGATGCTAAAATGCCCTTTGGAGAACACTTGTTTTACCTTAATCTGAGCAGGAATGTTTTTTGTTAGAATTTATTTTTTTTATCAATTTTGTTAACTCTGATGCTATGAATAATAGTATAAAAACCATATTTGAAAATTGCACAAGATGCTTTTTTGGAATTTCTGTGAAGAATTTTGTGTTAACATATAAGAATTGTTTATGTGTTTTTATAGCAAAGAGACAGTGGAAGAAAATCCAACAGTTCTCTTGACAAAGAAGGAGAGGAAGTTAAAGTGTTTGTAAATTTGAGAACTGCTCCAACACTTGGTTGTAGGTAAGTGGAGTAAATTTGAGAACTGCTCCAACACTTGGTTGTAGGTAAGTAGAGTAAATTTGAGAACTGCTGCAACACTTGGTTGTAGGTAAGTAGAGTAAATTTGAGAACTGCTCCAACACTTGGTTGTAGGTAAGTTGAGATTTTTAACCTCTCAAATTTCAAACTACACTTTCCAGTACATAGATATAGGAAGATGTGGTATGAGTGCCAATGAGACAACTCTCCATCCAAGTTACAATTTATAAAAGTAAACCATATATATATATATACTATGTTGCAAAGTGACATCTCCTGTGGCTTTTTCATATATCAATACTATATTTCAGTGGATTGCAAGGGAAGTTTTCCTGACAGACACCAAATGTACCCTTAAAGTAGTATTAGGGTTTCCATATATTTATCTTGGACAATTAAGTGGCACAAACCATAGTCTTTCTACAGTGTGTTATAAACTCATTAGGACTTTTCATCTACCTATCAATATGATTCAGAGTTCCCGTTATTTTCTAATGCTGTAATTTTGAGGTCAAATCAGGTCATTTACACACCTGTCCTATTGACAAATTATCCAAATTACAGAAAAATACATATCTTAATCATTTTATTGATCATCAAATCACATTAATCTACCCATTGATGTTGAATGATTAAAAAAAAAAATGATTTAATTTGCATATAAATTGCCAATAAATAACATCAGTATTATCTTTTATAGAAATAAGCTTAAAATCAATCTTTAATATTTAATACAATGTACTAGGATAGGTACATCATTAATAAAGCATCAGAAAAATGTACTTATATAATTAAAAACAAATAATGAATACATAGAGTTGAAAAAAAACAGATTTCATGAAGTTTGGAACCTTTTGTATATATTTTGATATCATAAGAAAACAGTGCAATGAAAAAATAAGATTTGGTGTTTAAATTTGTTAATTTTGGAAATCCTGATTTTTTTATGACTTGTCTGATGAATTATAATTCATATAATAATACCCACACTTGTTCAGACTTTTGTACATTGTAATCACCTCATTTATCCATTTGTTCAACAAATATTTTCATCACACTTTTCTCTGGAACTACCAAACAGAATGATTTTATTTTTGGTCAACAGTTTGACAATGATAAGTTGTAATAACGTGTTACTGCTTAGTAGATATTTCAGACATATACTTTCTGTTTGCTAAAACATGTCCTTTGATTTTTTCAATATTTTGAATGAAAACATAGATATAAGAAGATGTTGTATGAGTGCCAATGAGACAACTCTCCATCCAAGTCAAAATTTATAAAAGTAAACCATTATAGGTCAAAGTACGGTCTTCAAAACGGAGCCTTGGCTCACACTGAACAGCAAGCTCACTCTTTTCTCATGAACCACTGAACTGGAGGTATGCTTTACACAACAACTTGTTGTATTTTACTACAGTAACCACTAATTAATGTATAGTTTTATTTCAAAATCTAATTGAAGTTTAGAATTATATGCCAAAATAATTAACATTTGCCATCCTTAATAGAGTTTTACACGGTTATTGTATTGTCTTTTTTCCTATATTTTTATAAGAGTCAGCATTTATTGTCCAGTTTGAAATAAATATATGATAAGTATGTGTATCTGTACTTATTTTAGAGAAAAACTAAATAATAGTTAATGAAAATATGTTTCCTCAAATGTTGCCTCAATGTTTTGGGGGAAATTTCTTTTCTAACGTTCAGAATAGTTAATTGACGTATCCTGCAAATTCAAAATGTGGTCAGGAAAAGAAAAATTATGGCAAAAACTTCAGTTGTGTTGAAGAATGTTCTTTTGACTTATTTTTCAGATTTAGCCCTATGATTAGTTTCTGTTATTATGATGTCATTATAGGAACAACTAAAAACTACAAGAAATTAATTATTCATTCTTGCATAAAGAGTTATCACCCTTGAACAATGTTGAAACTGTATCGACTCACCTTAAAAGTATGTAATTCACAAGGTCCTCAATTTTGTGATTTTTAATTACCCCTCAATTTTTCTTCCTACTTTTTAAACTCTTCCATAGATTTATTAAGTTAGATTTAATAAACAGACTATAATACTTAAGATTTGTCCTACTGTTAAAATTTCATGACATGCCTTCAATTTTTCAGACTCTAAACAATGTACAATATTTATCTTATCTTGTGTTCTGTTTAGAATTTTTGTTTAGTATGTCTTCATCCTATGAATATTCATACCCCATTGGTATTAAAAAGATTACATAGAGGCGTTCTGCTTGAATTTTTCTGTTGTGATCTGTTATACTAAATGTGTGAATAACAGAAAAATATGTACCATAATAAATTAAGTATAATATTGAATAAAATTATAGCCTACAAATTTGAGTGTATTCTATATTTACAGTATAATCAGTGGTCCTAGACATTTCCCAGGTATATATGTAGAAGTGGTCAAACAGAACAGTCTAGCAGAGAAAGTAGGCATGGAAGCTGGTGATCAGATTATCAAAGTTAACGATACAAGTTTTATAGATATCACACATAAAGAGGTAATCATTTAATCTTTGTTAGGCATATGCTATGAAAAATATGAAGTTGGTTATGAAAGATTTATGCAACTATATGTCACCGTACATCCTTCAACAATGAGCAAAACCCATACTGTTTAGAAAACTATAAAAGGCCTGATTTATGGTAAAACAATAAATGAAAAAAATAAGACCAACAACAGCCAAAGAGAACCACTGAATTACAGGCTCCTGACTTGGGACAGGAACATACAGTATTCAATGTGGTAAAACATCCTCCCCTAACCTACTGCACAACATAAGAATAAACTAAAAATTGTTGGACAGGGCTTGGATCTTCAGATGTTAAAAAACAACACCAATTTGGCAAAAAAGAAAGGCACTAGGTATTGAAGTCAGCTTTTCATGATGTTTTTATGTTTTTTGGTTTAAAAACTTCCAAATATTAAGTAATGAAGGGTTAACATGATACCACTACCAGTACATGAACCACATACTGGTTAAAGAGAGATAACTGTGAATTGTTTTAGCTATTTATTGGTTTTTCCCTTATTCTTCATAAAAAAATTTAACTGGGTTTGATTAATTTTTGATAAATAAGACATATATTACATTTTAGCGTGTGATTTCCAAATCTGACTGGAATACTTTATTTGTCATCAAGGCCATACTAAAAAAGATATCACCAATTTTCCTCTGTATTATATTGTGATATTTATCCACTCTCAATATTTCATTTTTCAATTTTGAAATTAAACCGTCTGCAAATGATAAATATTTTTATCAATGCAATATTGCGGTAGAATCTATAGATTTCCTTTTAAATAATAAAAAATAAATGTATTGTTAGGTTGTATGATTACATATTACCCGCAAGATTCAGAAATTGTTATGCCCCAGCCAAAGGCGATGGGGGCATTAAGTGTTACCCTTGACCGTCCAACTTTCCGTCCGTCTATCCGTCTGTCCCTCCCATTTTCGTTTGTTTGAAGCTTGAGCGGGGGAATTTGTGTCCTCAGACACATTCTTCTTTTATTTGATATGTTTTATATTGTTTTTATCTATAGGCTGTGGTGGCATTAAAAAGCAGTAAAGAATTAATAGTTATACTCAGGAAGCATGTGGTGAGTATTGTAATCTGTTTCTTTCTTTGGAGATTGTTGTTTTATATAAGTAATATTTCAATGGAACTTAAGTATAAAATAATAAACATATTTATCTTTTTTATAAACAAAATATGAGATGAAGATTTGGTATGACTGCCAATGAGTTGACAGTCCACCAGAGTCCAAATGAGATGGATGTAAGCAAATATAGGTCACTGTATGAGCTTCAACAATGAACAAAACATATACCATATCGTGACCTGTAATAGGCCATCTGATATTATCTTTGATTCTGATTGGAAAATTTTCATAAAAATATGAAACTAAACAGAATATTTTCTCAAGGCATGATAACTTCTGACAATGTATGTTTATCTCAGTGCCCCATCTATTGTTTTTGCAAAGAAGTATTAAATGTTTTTTTTAAATTGTGTTTAAGGGCTATTTATATGATCACTAAGTCCTTTAATTCCTTTGAAACTTTAGATTACCGGTAGCTAGTAGGCATAAACGACTGGAAGACTTTCAGCTGCATTGTTTTAAAATACTGCAGTCTAGTGTAAATAACCTTGTACTCTTTAAGTTTTTTTTCAGTTCAATCAATACACAATTATTATATTTGAAACTTTATTGCAAAACAATATAACTGTTTACTAATCATGTCAAGATGATTTAGAAAATTCTCATACAAAAAAAATTACCAAACAAAATTACCTGAAGGTTGTATTTTTTTTCTTCAGGGTATTCCATTAATCCAGAGTGGAAGTTCTGCCATGAATCGCCAGATGACTCGACCAGCATCCCCTCCACCACCACCTGTAGCAGAAGATGACAGCTCCTCACTGAATGACAGGTCTGCAGTAAATGACAGGTACACTGATGATTTGGCAGCAGAATTTGATGATATAGATGATGAGAATACAGTTATTATGGAAATGAAAATTTAATTTTCCTTTGTTTTAGACTTAGTCAGTCCCTAGTCAGATTTTGTTATATTTTTATATTTATATTGAATTCTAGTCTATCATTTATAAAATATTATCTTGCCAGTCAATGTTTCTTGCCAAATATTATGCACATTTTTTGCAAACATATTGCAAATTATCAAGGATATTTCTGATAATGATGCTTATTAATTGCTTTTATATACAGATTTGGGAGAATGGTAAAAAGTTTGAGATATTGAACCCTTTTTCTTTGTAGTGTTAACATTGAAATTTTCAACTGAAGTGCAACAGACCTTTGCAATTATTCAAATAGCTTGAAGGGTACTGAATAAATCAGGGAATTTTTGTTTATTTATGATCATGAAAGGATCTTAAGAATCAAGATAGGAAGGCCCAGAATTCTTTAAATAGAATGAAACCATGACATTCAGGTTATGTTATTAAATATGTTTTAGTTTATATTTTTTGTTAAACATATTTGCCTGCCATTTGTTATTTAGTTTTTGTTGATTTTTTTCCAATTTAAGTATTAAGTTTACAACTACAGTAATTGTGATTACTTTTATTTTGAAAATATCAAAACCATTCTCTGAACTCTTATTAGTGAATAAAAGGGGATTTTTTTTCAATCAGAGAAAAGATGTATATTTGTAAATGGAAAAACTTTATGGTCTACAGTATTTTTAAGAAAAGAAATTGAACCATTGGTATGGAACCTACTACTTACCAAGAAATAATTTTGTAACTTTTCATGATTCAGTAGATTTTCAAAATTATTAAGTTTGATACTTTTCTTGTTTACTGAAATCTGAATATATTAATAATGAAATGAAAATTGCAAGTGTATACAAAAAATTCTTATTATCTCTGTGCAAATGTGTGCAAATATTTGTCAGGATAGTCTCCCTTAGATCACATTTTTTATTCGAATTGTAGAGAATTAATAATTATATTTTACTATTTGAAATCAAATGCTGGAGATAGATGATTTCACTAGATAATCACGTTCAAATCAATAGAAAAAATTGAAGATACAAATTGCACATATGAATCTTAAATGTAATAACAATGGCGGTTACCCGTACTTTCCATTTGTAATTGATAATGCATGTATTATTTGATTTGCATCCCAACTGATTTCATTGCATGTTGTTTCATTTACAATTCTTGCCATGATTTTTAATAATTGCATGATTATTTTTAATAAAATTTGTATATATAACCATTGCTTGTTCAGCTTTTATTTCTGTCTTTGTAGTAAGCTAGATATTCCCCTCAGACACATTTTTTTCAGATATTTTTATTATATTGAACATATTAGGTTTGTTAACTTTAGTTTTTAATGAAAATAAGTTTCTTATTTCAAAATCATTTCCATTTTAAGAAGATATGGATATATGTGTTTTATGATTATTTAGAGGATTATGTCATCAATGGAACTGCTGATATTTGTGTTATAATTGAACTATATCTGATAGTTTTAATCATACCAGTGAGATAAAATTGTAAACAAATGAGGCATAAAAAAGTAAGCAAACAATAAAAAAAGTTAAGCAATAAAAAAACAAAAAAACACTCAAAACTCAATTCTAGCTTGCACTGTTTTTACTTGTTGTATTTCTATTACCAAGTAGCAAAAATCAAATAAGATATTCTTTAAAGTCACAAAATTCCTAACTAGTGTCATTTCTTAAAAATATGGCTAACCTAGATATAATCCAAGGAAAACTTTACAATTTTTAGTTAAAGCATTTGATGGGCACCTAACTTCTCTTTAATCTAATGAATATGGAGTTCACAGACATACACACAACGAACAAAAATCTTTTATAAAAAAAAAGTTCAGACTCTTTACAAAATCTTTCTTAGGACAGTGGATGCTATTATAATTTCAGGATGTTCGCTCTTCTTGTTTTTGAACTTTTGTCAGATATTCGGAATCCTCTGGTTTCATCCATGTAGTGCCATTAAAAAAATTTGCCCGCTACCCTCTACTTTTCTTTTCATAATTTTATTACATATAGTTTAGAAAACCATATTTGAAAATCTTATAAAATTCTGATTATTTTTTCATAGTTCTTGAAAGGAAAAAGGTGTCAATGCTAAATGTATGATAATTCTAGAGAGAATCATATCCTGCAAAATTTTCAATGGCTTATATCGCGAAAACAAAGACACGGACCCATCATTTTTTCTGCTATTTTAGTTCCACTATTGAAATATTATAGATTTATAACAGTCTTCTGAAAAGTTTATTATTTTTAAACAGAGTAAGTGAACTTCCTTAAATATTAATACAATCCTTTTTTATAAGTTTTTTTTAATCCTGAATTTACTCTGAAATATTTTCCATTCAGAGGAGTAATTACTGGTTTCTGCAGTGCAGTGTTAAGAGATGTAAAAAAGGAGGTGTTTTTATACCACCGCTTTAAAAAAGTGGGGGTATTCTATTTTACCTCTGCCTGTCCGTCCGTCCATCCATCCGTCAGTCAGTCTGTCCATCCGTCCCATGAATATTTTTCGTCGCATCTTTCTCAGGAACTACATCATAAGGATTTCTGAAATTTGGTTTTAGGGTTTATATAAGTCAGCTATACCGTATGATGCGTTTTCAGATTCATCACTCAACAACTTCCAGTTTACCGAACACTTACATATTTTTATACTATTCAAATTATCCAGTTGCAGCGGGGTATCATCAGTGAGCAGTAGCTCGCAGTATCACTTGTTTTTTATGTCTACACAATCAAACACTGCAATCCGAACTGTTTAATAAATATCCCCCCCCCCCCCCAAAAAAAAAAAAGAATACAAATAGAAATACAGAAACAGCAAGAGAAAAACTACTTGAAAGTCTAGGAAATACAACTGTACAATTTGTTTCAAGGAAGGAGTAATCTATATTACAATAAGTTTAAGGACATGTCTATTCCACCTTTCAGAAGTAACAAACTGTTCATATCAACCAAACAGTTCTGATTCAATCAGACTGGTACTAAACACAAGAATCCAATATCTGGTAGTGTGAACACTAGAAAAGTTCCAGCCTAAGAACTCACAGTTACTGAAAGATAGTTTTATTTAGCATTTAATAAATAAACCAAATGTTCATAGACTGCTTGTATTAGACATTTATATCTTTAATAAGAACTGCTTTGAATAGTAACAGGTAAAGATAGAGAAAATAGAAAATAGATAATTAAATATATGCAAGTTTATCAATTTCCATAAGAATTACAATTTATAACCTATGATAGCTTTCACTGACTATGTGTTACTTGTTTTAAGAGAAAAAAAGAAATTATTATATTTCGAGGAACAAAAGAAAATTTACAAATGCCTCTGGCTTGAAACAGAATTTTGCAGACTCAAATATACATTGACACAGGTCTCCTTATTCTTAATCAATCATGACCAAATAATGAATAATGAAAATTTATTAGGATTATCTCCCCTTACCCACCATAGTGACTTTCAGCTTTGTGACTTTCAGCAAAGAGTTTTTGATGTTGACCCTTACAGTTTGAAGAAAGAAATTTTTCTGTCATTGAAAAAAAAAAATTAAGTTAACTAATGTATTATATTGGCCATTGCTGCAGGCTTTAAAAAGAAAATATAAGGGGCAATAAATATCTTGATGAAGGCGGACAGTGAAACAACACCACAACCATTAAAAAACTAAAGATTTAGTAAACCCAAACCTCACCAAAAAGATGGATGAATCATGCAGGTGTTCTGAAATGAAAAGCTGTTCCTGCTCCACTGGTGGCATAGATGGATCCCCTTATCAGCCTCTGTATTCAATGAACCATGGCAACATTTTTTGATATTTCTGAAAATCATATTTAAGATATCACGCTAGAATGAAAAGAATCCTGTGACTTCACATTTTGCAATATAAATGATCTCTTACTGAATAATTAAAAGTTTGGTGACTATGTTGATCAAATCTGGCCCATTAAACTGGATATAAAGCATACCTCATATAATATTAACTTATCAAGTCTGCTTCATATCATGATTTCTTACATCTAGAAATTGACATTGAAGGTTGGTGGAGAACCATACATTAGGACGAGAAATGATTTCAATTTTTCCATTGTGAACTTTTTATTTCGGTAAGCAATATTCCAGGAGTGCCTGCTTATGGAATATATATCTCCCATTTTATAGTGTCACAGATAACCATAGATATGCCCAATTGTCATAGCAACTATCTTTCCTTTTTTCCTAGATAGTGACATCACTGAATGTGACTAATTACCAAATATTTACTTAACATAAAAAACTTGAGGTTGCCACTAAAAGAGTAGGAACTGCTCACCTTCGACAAACTATGAATTCATCCCAGGTTTTAGGTCTGGTTCATGTTGCCAAAATTATAAGTTTTTTGGGTAGTATTTTGTGGACTGTTTGTCTTTTTGCCATTATTTTTTTGGCCATGCATGGTATTATCTGTTTTGTTTTTTTCGACTTATGGGTTTTTATTGCCCTTTTGATATCTACACCTCGTTTTTACAGGCATTTAACCCAGTATTGATTCTACCACTTCATTGATTAAAATAGGATGTCCCTCAATTCGAGACATTGATATTTTCATTAAAAATCCAAGTTTGTGTGCAAACAATAAGTTTCATCTGTTTGATGATTTCAAACATCTTTCTTTTAATGCTGTTCACAAGCAAATCTTGAGACCAGCATGACATTTACTATCTGACATTGTAATTGAATTTCAAAAAAGGGCTTAGTCTGAGCAAGTCACATGTCGATTAAAAAGAAAAACAAGGAAAGAAAAAAAAGTAAAAATCCAACATGTTTTAGTATTTGTAAAAGTTTAAATCCAATATTTATCAAATTATCAAATCAAAACCCTACAATTTATTCTACAATTCCTTAGTGTCAGTGCTGATGTAAGTAGTTGTCAATTGTGTAATTTTAGTACCTAAAGATAATGGTACTTTGTGTTAAACTTATTTATACCTCACACTACAAAGTAATCAGTTTATTTAGTTTTAACCTGTTCATAAGTCTGTTCATCATCTTGGTTTCTGTATGATAAACCAAATACTTTTATTATATTGTAACCTTACTTTGGATAAATTCTTACATATAATAAAAGGAAGATCCCTATTGATTTTGAGGTCACTTCACATCTAAGAATAAGGTTGTAATTGCTAAAAATAGACTGAAACAAGTGCAAAAAGAACCTTCTAGATATTAAAACCAGATCCTTACATAGGACTGCAACCCAACTTTGATATATGGTCACATATGATAAGAGGAAGACCCCTAAGAATTAAGAGGTCACTATGTTTAATGACATGGATATGGTGGGTAATAATAGACTGAGATTAGTGCATAAAAGAGGTTTCCTGATAAATAAACCAGAACTTTACATGGAATTGCAATGAAACATACATATATGGTCACATATAATGAGAGGAGTAATCCTATTGATTTTGAGATCATATAATCTTTTTCCAAGATCAGGATAAATATTTATCGAAAATAAATGCAGAAAAGTAATATATCAATAACTCCATTGCTTTTATCCATTAAAAAAAAAATTAATATGTTGTAACTGATGACAAAATGGTGGTCCAATTCAAGTACGTAGGAAAAACCCTGTTTACTGTCATTTTAACAGTCTCTAGTTAGCTTGGCTTGTGGTATTGTGAGCTGACTTGCTCAGGTTCTTTAATTTTCAGTACCAGCTAATGAATAAAGTGCAGTTACATGATTGAAATATGAATAAGACATTGTCCATGTAAAAAAAGAAAAAAAAAGAAATTGTTTTCACATTCAGAATGTTATCAAATCAGCCTGTTGTTTTTTCTCTTTTGAATTGTTTCACATTTTGTCATGTCTTTTATATCTAATTACAAGAGTATGTGCTTTTACCCATTGTTGAAACTGTACAGGCTCTAAGAGTTGTTAACATTCTTGCTTTTTGGTCTCTGGTTGATAGTTTTTCTAATTGACAACTATACCTCTATATTTCTTTCTCTCTGATGTTGATAATTACAACACTCTTGTACCATGTGTACAATTACCAATATATTTAATATTAACATTTAAATTGGAATTTATTTACAGAATATTTGACAGAGATGATATTTATAACACAGAAACTAAGATGCAAGTTGACAACTCATCTCAGAATACAGGTTTGATCATTCATATGTTTTCAGTCAGTATATAATTTGAAAGATTCTTCAATTCTAATGATGTGACCCAGTTCTCATGTAATAATTATTGGTGTGACATTGTTCATTACATGTGAGGTCAGAGAGGATTGAACAGCTGGCACCAGATAGACTGTCCAGAGCAGGAAGACAGGAAGACAAAAAATTTTAACAAATGTCATATCCTAGTTTTGAATGAATTGAATTTCAGGAAGGAAGATATAGAAAAAAATTGAAAATTGTTTTAGGAAGGAAATTGACAAGAGCCTGTTACAAAGTAAAATTTTTGTTATTAATATAATTATACCATGATATCTATGAGAATAGTATCACCAATGAGGTCAAATTGAAAATAATATTGAGGAAACACTTCACAATATATAATCAAATGAACAGCAAGAAGTTGTAATGTTGGTACTTAAAACCACTATTGCAAAGTACTTATAGTAAATTTCTGACTAAAGTGATTGTAACAAGGTTGATGTAGCATGGATTTTTATATTAAAGAATGAATTGTTGCATGTCTGTTAAAGCATGAGCTGATATAATCTTGAGGTTTATTTTATTTTCTGTAAAATTTATTTTATAAACGATACCAAGGAAATGAGCAGTTTCAGATAGGTTAAAGTTTATTCATGTGTTCAGCAGATGTTATATTTTGCTACATTTTGCAATCCCTGAACAGTTTGTTATGCTATATACTAAAAATTCAATCTACATCATTATAGACATTTAAACACCCAACTGATCTTTTCTTAACATCTGATTGACAGATGCATGATATGCATAACTAATTTATATTTGGTATTGCTAATTTTATCTTCAAAATTTTGAGTAAAGAGGAATGCAGAAAACTTTTGAACTGGTGAAAACTGAACGTGTGAGATTAATGGAACTGTTCTGATATGAGCATATACCAACACACAACATGATTTGGAGGTTCCCATTGTACAGTGATTCTTATGGTTAGTTGTACAACCTGTACAAATTAGCCTTTGACCAAAGGATTGTCTTTTTTATATTTGTACTTTCCTTTTTCCTATTCAGGAAGCAAACACTTTTATGATATGATGAAAAAAAAACAAAAAAAAAAACTGAAAAAACTCTTCAAAAAATTTGTATTCAAATGTATCATACAGTTTGTACAGTATAAAAAGTAACCTTGGTCGTGTTTATAAATAAATATCTTTCTTTGTCATGATTTTAGATATTTATCTATACACTTTGAACTTCGTAAATTAAGACACATTTTTCTATTGAAATGGAATTTACTGAAATATCTTTAGTTATATTTTCAGATGAGGTACATGTAGTATCATCTTATAATCTGAAGAGTAAAGAAGGAAGGTTGCCAGACCAGACAGATAAAGATGATATGATACAAATCGGTAAGGGAACAACTAAAACAAACTACTTGTACAGTGTTAAGAATATGTCATACTATTTCTGCTCTTTAAGAAAACATGAACAAAAACTGGTTGCCAAGTTGCTGAGTGAAATTTATAAATATGAAGTCATTTATCCTGAATGTTTGATCTGTTAACATAAAAATCAAGTTTAAAGTGTCACATTTCTTTTCTATTAAGATATGGAAATTGATATGACCAAAGTCCCTTGGTATTTTCTGCCTCTTTTTTAAAACAATAGATTACATGTGTTATTTTTTTATTTCTTTTCCTATATTTCTAATTTTTACTCTCAATTTATGAATGGTTAACATGCATGTGTGTTTGCAGTTGATATTATAGAACCAGAGGTCAGTATTGAGAACAAAGATGTACCATCAGACAATGAAGAAGATGATACGGCTGAAAGATTACAAAGAGTGTTACAACAGAAGTTAGATGAGAACAAGAAAGAGGCAGAGTTGTTAAGAATGCAGGTGAGAATATGATCATACTGTTAAGAATGCAGGTGAGAATATGATCATATTGTTAAGAATGCAGGTGAGAATATGATCATATTGTTAAGAATGCAGATAAGAATGTAGGTGGGAATATGATCATGTTGTTAAGAATGCAGGTGAGAATATGATCATATTGTTAAGAATGCAGGTGAGAATATGATCATATTGTTAAGAATGCAGGTGAGAATATGATCATATTGTTAAGAATGCAAGTGAGAATATGATCATGTTGTTAAGAATGCAAGTGAGAATATGATCATATTGTTAAGAATGCAGGTGAGAATATGATCATGTTGTTAAAAATGCAAGTGAGAATATGATCATATTGTTAAGAATGCAGGTGAGAATATGATCATGTTGTTAAGAATGCAGGTGAGAATATGATCATGTTGTTAAAAATGCAAGTGAGAATATGATCATATTGTTAAGAATGCAGGTGAGAATATGATCATGTTGTTAAAAATGCAAGTGAGAATATGATCATATTGTTAAGAATGCAGGTGAGAATATGATCATGTTGTTAAAAATGCAAGTGAGAATATGATCATATTGTTAAGAATGCAGGTGAGAATATGATCATATTGTTAAGAATGCAGGTGAGAATAGGATCATATTGTTAAGAATGCAGGTGAGAATAGGATCATATTGTTAAGAATGCAGGTGAGAATAGGATCATATGGTGAGAATATGATCATATTGTTAAGAATGCAGGTGAGAATATGAACATATTGTTAAGAATGCAGGTGAGAATATGATCATATTGTTAAGAATGCAGGTGAGAATATGATCATATTGTTAAGAATGCAGGTGGGAATATGATCATGTTGTTAAGAATGCAGGTGAGAAAAGGATCATATTGTTAAGAATGCAGGTGAGAATATGATCATATTGTTAAGAATGCAGGTGGGAATATGATCATATTGTTAAGAATGCAAATGAGAATATGATCATATTGTTAAGAATGCAAATGAGAATATGATCATATTGTTGAGAATGCAAATGAGAATATGATCATATTGTTAAGAATGCAAATGAGAATAGGATCATATTGTTAAGAATGCAAATGAGAATATGATCATATTGTTAAGAATGCAAATGAGAATATGATCATATAAATGTGAGAGATGTTTAAGGATGCTGGTTACTCTGTTTCAAAATAACACACTTTTGTTCAAAAAGACTGTTATATATTAATAGTTTATAAATAAAGTCATAATAAATTTAAGATCCATGTCCTTATTTTTGAAATACAAGCCATTGAAAATTTAGCCGGAAATTATTCTCAGTAGATCTTTTATACATTTAAATTTGATTTTTGGCATCTTTTTGAACGATTTTCTAAATTGGCCTATTTGTTTGAATAGATATGTACCTTCCTGTAGAATTAAAACATGTTTTATTATATCTTTGTCTTGAACTAGACCTTCGAAAAAAACAAAAAGAAACGTCAAAGACTTGAAAAACAGTTGTTGAGCAAAATTGAGAAAAATAGTATGGATGCAGAAAAAGAATTAAGATTTTGTAGACATAAACAAGAGCAGGAGGAAATGTTACGTGAATCAAGCGGGGAAATGGTATAGTTGTCTCCCTTTCCCTCTCACAGGTTGTTTTCTCCATCAGGCACAATTTTACTTTTTATGCCTACATATATATATTGCATTTGAATAACTTCTCCATTCTAAGAATTATTATTTGCATTTGAATTTGTTGAACAATATATTCTCAGATTATGTTTTTATATAGTTTGGATTTTAAAACTAATACATAGTCTTTTATTTTCATAAATGTCATTAGGTATTTTTGTAGTCACCAGACATTTTCAGTTGTAGTAGCGCCTTTTATGTCATTTTGTAGCATTATTTGTTAAATATCAAATTAGAACATTTCTGCTTTTAAAATATTTTGTATTTGTATTTTGTATATTTTCATATAAAAGTAATAATTTCCTCAAATTTGAATCAATTTTTTTTCATAAATTAAAATTAAATGATAAATTTTACTATAATTTTTTAATGTATATACCCTTATGTATATAAAAGGATATTCAGTGGAAATAATGGCTTTATTTGGGCAATATATGGCAACATTTCAAACATTGTATATTGAATTTGTAACAGCTGTGAAAATTTTTTCAGGAAACGACAAAAAAAATTGACCGTTGTTTGCTTTTTCCGCAGTGACAAAGCTAGGAGAAACTTCAATTTTTTTAAAATTTCACAATTTTGAAGATTTTTTAACAATATTTTTAGCAAACTTTTGGTTTTACAGTTTTGATGTCTGTTACATAATTGCATAGTCATATCGAATATAAAGTTGTTTTTCATAGATAAATTGAATCATAAGCGAAAATCTTGGTATAAATAGTAATTTTATTTGTAAATTCTAACAAAAGTTTGGATGCTTTGCGATAAAAGTTAAGAATGGTAATAATTTGTACAAAAGGGTATTGGAAGAATTGGAGGCAAAGCAGTATTCCTGAGCATATTTATAATATGAATGAATTTTTGCTGAAAGATAATAAGCTTTTGATATTTATATTTATTATACAAATGCTACAAAGTATCAGGGATATATAGTTTTTTTTACTTGTCTGTAAGTCTGCCAGTCAGTCAATTTTGTTTCCTGATGATAAATTACCGAAGAACCTTACTTGGGATTGGAATCCGATTGGCATCATGGAAACAAATGATTAGAGGAATACCCTTATCTCTTTTTAGGTCAATTTGTTGAAGATCCATTTCACAGCAATTCAACATGGAATATATAAGGTTTATGCTTCAGTGGTCATTATTAAGTCTACGTTTAAGAATTTTATTTTAATTTGGTACATAGTTTGGATAAATAATAAGATATTTATAAGATACCATATATATCAGCCAGTCAATGTTTCCCACTTCTTGCTCTAAGGATCAGATAAAGTCTCTTCCTCAGATATTATAAATGAGGAGCACTTTATATCTTAGTTCACAAATTTCTTCTCAAAAGTAACTTTTAACTTTGGCCGTTAACATTTTTGTTTTAAAAATATGTTTTGACAACTTATTTCATCATATCAGGTATTAAATTATTGGACTGAATTAGTTTGTAAAGTTTATATTCTATATTGACATTTTTGTATGCTATCATGAACAGAGTGGATTTGTGAAAACGTTTTCTAAACTTTGGCAGCCAAAGTCATTGTTTAAAAAACACAAGAAAGAGGTGGGTAATACAAATCTTGTAAAATAATTTCTTTCAGAAAATTTATATTACCAGTTCAAAATGATATTTTGGGGATAATAAATTAAATCACCAAGGAAACAAAGGAGATAAAAAAATTAGTTTAGTGCAATACCATAAGGAGGGGTTTGAGTATTTAGAAAGTAACAGTATAAATTTTAGGATTATCATAAAGGTGAAAAAAGATTGCATTGGTAATCTTGCTCATTAAAATTAGTACTTACCATTTGGGGTTCTTTGCTATAAGTTGTTAATATGAGTAAAATAGCTTTTTGTGGAAAGCTGTTGCTCATATATACATTTTTGTATTTTGACCAAACACTATGAGTGAAATGGCCATTTTAGGTCAAACACTTAAATTTTGATATCTTTATGACATCATAGTGCCATCACAAGTGACCTATCTGCACTAATAATGTTTCAAGATAAATAATTACCTGTTCATTTATCAACATGATTAACATAGTTTTGAAAGGCTGGAAGTAGTTCACTATTTCTGCAATTTAAGGGGCCCTTACCATACCCCTTCCTTTTACAAAATCAGATTGATGTTACAAAAGCTAAGATATTACATTTTTACTTTCAGGATGAAATTTTGTCTGGTCGAGGAGGTCCTCTGAAGAAAACAAGTTATGGTTTGCTTGGAAATCCTCAGGTACAAATTTTAAAATTTTTTGTTTAAATGATGCTCAGTTCGGATAAAAAAAAGATGTGTATTTTTCTTTTTGAAACCACTGGTTTTGTGTTTTTCTTTTTGAAACCACTGGTTCTGTAATTTTCTTTTTGAAACCACTGGTTCTGTATTTTTTGTTAATGGTACTTGGCCCTAGAACACAGTTATTTTCGTAATGCATTTCTTTTAGACAATAAATTCAAATTAAAAAAATTGCACCTGCTCTCTCTTGGGACAAATGATATCAAAATTATAGAATAGTCTGCCAGCTCTAACTCATAATATGGACAATTCTATGTTAAAGGGGTCTTTAGTTTAACAGCTTCAGGCATATTTATTTTTGACCTTTTTTAACTGGACCAAATCACTACTTTACATAGAAATTCATCACCCAAATTTTTTTAACATGTACTTTCATTCCCCTACTAAATAATTCATGCTTTGTAGCACCGTTAAAGTCCACAACTCATCTAAAAAGTCCACAATAACAAGTTCCACTAAACACTGTGCTTAAACGGCTGTGGGTAACTTAAGTTACCCACAGCCCAAGATGGAGCCGCCTGGCTTCGGTAAGAAACTTCTCTCCTATTTAATAACAATACAATGAAAACAACACAAATGTTCAGTAATTAAAAAGTTGTATCAATCTTTTAGGGAAACACCTAAACATAAAAGATGATTAAATACTGCAAAATAAACGATCACATTACGATTTTCGAAAACACTTAGGATGTCCGTAACTTGAAAATAACTTGTCCGTAACTTTTTTCATTATACAAAAAGGGATGTTCGTAACTTTAACGGGATGGCCGTAACTTTAACATGATGTCCGTAGCCTGGGACATAATATATTATAGTATAATAGTCCCAGCTGTAACTTTCAAAGAATCGATATTCGTGCATGGATGTAATAATTAAACATATTATAGAAATTGCATCGAATATATAATCAAAAATAAAGTAGATTTCTAGTATGATATAATTCTTTTGTGAATACCATGATTTCTGGTATTGTACCCAGCTAATAAACTCGAAATTTTTTTTTAAATTACATGTGTTAGTTTATCTAGTGACATAGATACCATGTTTATCATTCAATCAGCCAACACAATGGAACTTCAAAATTTAGCATAAGGAAACTAGTTTTGGACGAAAAATCAGAACATGCAGCTTATAAATCTCACCACTTCCCACTGCAGATATCACAAATTTCAGATCAAATTGCTCAATAGATATAAGAAGATGTGGAATGAGTGCCAATGAGACAACCCTCCATCCAAGTCAAAATTTATAAAAGTAAACCATTATAGATCAAAGTACGGTCTTCAACACGGAGCCTTGGCTCACACCGAACAGCAAGCTATAAAGGGCCCCAAAAATTACTAGTGTAAAACCATTCAAACAGGAAAACCAACGGTCTAATCTACATAAAAAAACGAGAAACACTTATGAACCACATCAACAAACGACAACTACTGAACATCAGATTCCTGACTTAGGACAGGTGCAAACAATTGCAGCGGGTTTAAACGTTTTAATGGTACCAAACCTTCACCCTTATCTGAAACAATAGTGTAACATCACAACATAGAAAAACACACTATAAAATATCAATCTAAATGGCTTAACTCAATCAAAAGACACCGGTGAACATACACTGAACAAATAAATTTGATCTATGATACAATGCAAATACAAAATAAATAAACTAAGGGAAGAATAATTAAAGTAACATGTTATACCGCTGTGAAATGTTAAACAATCTAAGAAAAACAATATACTTGAACAAAAATATCAGCCATTTGCAATTACTTTAAACACAAGTAAATAAAATAATTTTGTTGTTAGGCATACTTGTACAGTTCAGATAGAGAAATGAAATATTTTTACAAAATAAATAATTTTGATGTTCATAGTATGAAGAAGTGAAAATTTATAGTAATACCAAACACTTATCAAAGCTGGTATATAGACCAGATATAACCCTAAATAACATTAAATCACAAAAAAGCATTACAATTAGTATCAACAGGTCACAAACAAGAAAGTACGATTTGAGAGTACTCGCAGTTACTGGCAGCTAGTTTTAAAAGCCAAAAACAATTAATAATAAAAAAAAACATGCATCAGAGACCAAAATCAACTAAAACACACCCCAGGAATTTAGTATTTTAACGTCATGGACAGTCAAAGAAGACAGGACTTGTGCAATGCCAAAAGTTAGGAGTTAACCTCTTTATAGATCAAAATGAACGTGGGTGTGTCTTTATACATCCCGTTTGAAAAGAATACAAATTTAGTTATGTTTTAATTTGCTGATGACAAAATCGGTATTAGTGCCAATGTAAACTATATTCAAAGATCTAATTACAACACTGGTAAGATAACCTTTACTAATAATAAAATATTAGGATGTGAAATACCATTTATAATCAGTTTTCTACAGGTACAGCCAAATTTACTAATCAAATCTTTGTATCTATGAAAGAATTTAGTAAAAGTTTTACGTAATTTATGGTAGCGAAATCCCTGACTTAATAATTTACCAGAAATCTATGACATCACTACACACACGGGCATAACGAACGAGTTGGGATATATAAACACCGTATGATGGAGCCAAAGGAAAACATCGCCGTTTAAAAAAGGAAAATTAACAATAGGGAATGAAAAGTCGTCTCTTTTGTCGTAAATTTTAGTATGGAGTTTTCCTTTAGAGATAGAAATGTCCAAATCTAGAAAAGGACAACTACTGCTGTTTATTTAGTTAAAGTAAGTTCTTGGGTAAATTTCGGTAATATATTTAGAGAACTCTGGATTATTTAACGAAAAAATATCATTTAGATAACGGAAGGTATTGTTGAATGTATCAACCAAATGTAACAATGACGTGTCTTTACTGAGTTTGGTCATAAACTGAGATTCATAGCAATACAGGAATAAATCTGCTATTAAAGGGGCGCAGTTAGTGCCCATAGGAATGCCTACTACTTGTCGATACACTTTATCGCCGAAACGTACCTATATGTTGTCCAGGAGAAAATTTAAAGTTTCAATCATATCTTCACATTTCCAGAAAGTGCATCTAGCATACTTTCCTTTTTGGTTACAGAAAAAGGCTTTAAACGAGTAACAGCAATAAATTTGTAATGAGATTTTTCAAAAGACCATTTAAATAAATATGAAAACTTTTTCTTGATAAGATTGTGTCAAGGCTTTAAACCATACATTAAAAGTGAATATACGAAAATCACCTTTAAGAGAACAAGTTCAGATGTCAATCCTGAGCGGAAATACATAGACAGAGCTGTCCAGACCCCTGAAAAAGATATTTACGCTTTGGTACCAAGTGCTATTGAATCCCTGAGGTCAATGAAACGTTTAGAAGATTTTAAATCTACCTTAATTGCTGTTATAAACGGACACCTGTTCAACAATATAGCTTTCCATTTACTTTAAGATGTTCGCATTTTTTTCATAACACTAGGTATAGTGGAGACCATACTTTTTTGGCTAACAATTCGGAAATTATTTAAAGGAAAAGGTATCAATTTTGCCCGCGGCTAAAGGGCCAAGGACTCAACAGTAAACAATCTATAAAGCCAGAAGATGCAAGATAAATTTCGCCGTACCATCAGATCTTGTTTTATGTGAACACTCTGCAAAGTATACTTTGGATGCTGCTAACCAGGTTTACTGGATTAATCTATCAACATATTATCAGAAAATCGGGAATAAATTGAAAAAAACAACGGTAAATCCGTAAAACTCGGGTCTGATTTTTTACAGCTATGTTCTCTTTTCTCTTGGTTATTTTGACGCATATCGTAATAGTATAAAACTAGGTAATAAATACAGGATTTGATAGTGTTTATTGTCCTTTAATTGTTGAAATTATCAATCTTACAATTTTGAAAACAAAAGTTACCCACATTCGAAAATAAAGTTACGGACAGTCTGATTAGTTTTGACCATAAAGTTACGGACATCTTCTACATTTCTTAAAGTTGGCCTTGCATTAAAATGAACTCAAAATTAGCAAATTTATGGTAATGGTAAGTGATTTCTTTATTCAAGAATCCTATAAATATTTACATAGTGCATGAAAAACGTCGCAAAAAGTAGATTTTGTATCAATCATATATCAACGAGTTTAGAGACCGCCATCTTGGTCTGTGGGTAACTTAACTTAAGTTACCCACAGCCGTTTAAGCACAGTGACTAACCATGGACTTTTGTTCTTGGTAGTTATTTTTAATCAGTTTGAATTATATGTTTGATAAATGAAAAAAATTACAGTATCTGTAGAATATTTTGTTCCATTAATTGGATCTTTGTATTGTGATGATCAGATCAGTGAACCAAACAGGCCAATTTGGACAACATTTCTGAAAAGTTATCTAGCCATAGTACATTCGTTAGTTAATACATAATTACTGCATTCTTCTTTTAGAGTGTCTGAACGGAACAAGTACTGTCGTTGTGGGGACACATGACCTTTTTTTTTATTCTTTGTATATAATCACTTTTTGATGTAACTATTAAATGTACATATCAAAAGTATCGTGACATGTTATTTATAATGTTTTTTTTTATGTTGATGATAAGAGACGTGAGCACGTACAAGAGAGGCGAAAGATACCAGAGGGACATTCAAACTCATAAGTCGAAAATGAACTGACAACGCCATAGCTAAAAAAGAAAAAAACCAACAGACAAAAAAATAGTACACAAACCACAACATAGAAAATTACAGACTAAGCAACACGAACCACACCAAAAACTGGAGGTGATCTCAGGTACTCTGGATAGGATTAAAAATGTTTTGATAAATGAAAACTGGGGGTGATCTCAGGTGCTCTTTTTTAAATGATACAAGAAATTCGACATATGAAACGATTTTGCTAGATTTAATTAAATTGTTACTAAATATAAGCACAGGGACATGGAGTCAAGATGATGTATCCTTCCCTCCCCTCCAGCTATTTTTTCGACTTTTATATAGTTTACCAAATCAATCAATTGGAATTAAATATCTATTGAATTATATCTGAATATGATGCTCTATCAACAATCAATACGATGCCTTATCATCAACTGGCATTCCTACAGTAACAAAGCTATACTTTTTTTCATTTATCAAAACAATTTTAATTCTATCTGTCTTTTCACGAGTAAACAGCTGGTTTGACGGTTTTTGTAGTAAAGTTTCTAAATATTGTAAAAACTTATCTTCCAACATTATATTTACAAATGATTTACTTCCGATAACTTTAATTTCAGTGAGCATTTTAACTCAATTTAATGTATTACTGATATGCTTAATACAGGAGATTTACAGATTAAGTTACAATGTAGTGTGACTTTTGTATTTAGTTAAAATAATTTTTTATTTCAATTACAACTTTTCTTATTAATTCTAAATTTGACCAATTTCTTAAAATAACGCGTATGGTCCAAATGGGCATATGGTCTGGAACATCTGTACATAGCAAGAGATTAACATTTGATATAATTAGTAGGTAAACTACTAAAAAATTTAAAAAACTTGTATATAAATTGTTATATATTATAAAGTTATATTGATTTTTACAATAAGAGGAAGAAGTTATATTTTCATTTATTAAATGCAGAATTTCTTTCTGTTAGTTAATTACTAGTTATTATAAAAGGCAGTGTTTGATTGTTAAACTAATGAAATAGTTAGATAAGAATTCTGAGTATTTGTACATTTAATTTAATTTTGATTTAACCTTGTTCCACAATCTCCAGTGAAGTACATGATTGTTTGACTGAGAATGTGTAGGCCTAGGGTACAGGGTCTAAAAGATGTAGATTTTGGTATTAGATTATGAGTAAAGGGTTATATTGAAGCCATCATTGTACTGTTGAAAGCCAAGTCAAGTACATGACCTTGTTGGTCATGTAAGCTATTGCCATTACTATATCCGTCGTTTGTTCGTCCACAATACACATATCTCCTCCTGTGAAAATTTTTTGTTCATTATAGACCAAACTTTGGTATAATGCTCCATGAATGCTGCCTTTTCAAAATTGTGCCTGGTTAACTACCAATTGTATTTTGTTTCGATGGACTTAAATTTAATTTGTTTTCTTTTTGCTTACATGTGAGCTTTTGCTACCACTGAGCGATTGTCATTGTCAACGTTCGATCATCCGTTTGTAGTAATTTTTTCGCATTTTAGTCTTCTCTTCTGAAAAAAAAATCTGTGAGGATGGTCCTCTTGTGCTCCTCTTTCAAAATATATTCGATGAAACCAATAGGCCAATTTGGACCACCCTTTGATAGAATGGTCCCTATGGCCCCGTGAGACGACCAAGATGGCCACCATTCCTGAAAAAAGGACAATTCTTCAAAAGATTATTTATTTAAAGTTTTTGCACGAATCTTCAGTAGGGCGGGCGTGAAGATTTTAGTTTAAAGAAATGCTTGTCCATGGGGATCGAGCACTAGAGGCCAAAGTTTAGAATACGCTTTCATAGAAAAAGCTTAAACTATGTGTTTCCTTAAAACCAGCAATGAGCTTATTTAGGTCAAGTGAGCGATACAATCTTAAGATCACATGATCCTCTTGTTTTAATAATTTTTATTTAGATATGTATATGTTGCACAGAATTTCCTGTCGTTTATTAAATTTTAATGTTCATTTCTCACTTTTTTGTTTATTATCAATTCTCATAAATCCAAAATACGAAAATAATGTTGATCGCCTTTCCTATCCTTGATACCAGACAAATCAATGGATGAAACTAAGACACGAGAAGCCACTTTGATTTGTTTCCTCTTTCCTTACAAACTTGAAATCAGGGTAAAATGTTTATTTTAGTGTTGTCAATTGAACAGTTTTGCCTACCAGGTTACTCAGATCATCATTCGACCTATTAAATGGTAAAGCGGAAGTAAAGTTGGTGTTCAAAGGTCTTGTGTAAAGTACTCTACAAGTGCAAGGTATTATAGTCTGATGATTTTCTCATCTGAATCTGAAACCTAGTTTATGCAAGCTCAACTAATTTCCATTAGGAGTGTTTTGATCAAATTTTTCATCTTCAAATTGTTTTTACAGTGACCTACAACATATACATGTAGCATTGTCGAAATAAAATCTTTAATACTCATCATGGGTAATACACAATGCAGAACAGCATCCACGTATAACTTTTTCAATTCATTTTGAACACATTCTGAAACAAATACCTTTTCCTTGTTGGAAACCAAACAAACATGCAAACCAATGAGTGATCGGAATCTGCTTAGCACCACAAAATGCATGTGTGGATTTTTATGCCCCACCTACGATTCAGGTTAAAGTTTTTGGTCAAGGTAGTTTTTGATGAAGTTGAAGTCCAATCAGCTTGAAACTTAGTACACATGTTCCCTATGATATGATCTTTCTAATTTTAATGCCAAATTAGAGTTTTGACCCCAATTTCATGGTCCACTGAACATAGAAAATGATAGTGCGAGTGGGCATCCTTGTACTATGGACACATTCTTGTTTTTATTTATTATTATTTTGATTTCAAACAAGAACATTATGGTTTAAAGTCTATCTTTGAAATTTATGGACCGTTTTGGCTGCTGTTTGAAATCAAAATATAGCTATATAACTTTTCAGAAATGTTGCATCTTTGATTCACTGAAAATCACAATACAAAGATCAAATTTATGGGGATCAAAATCTTCTACAGATACTGTAATCTTTAATTTATCAAACATATAATTCAAGCTGATAAGAAATAACTACCAAGAACAAAATTTCATGCTTTTTATTATTACAACCGGGATAAAAAAAAAACGAATTGTGTTTTTAATTAAAAACATATAGTGTGGACTTTAACGGTGTTTTTTGTGGACTTTAGCGGAACTTGTTATTGTGGACTTAAACTGTGTTTTTTTGTGGACTTTAGCGGAGGTCATTTTGTGGACTTTAGCGGAAAGTTTGTGGACTTTAACGGCGTTATGGACTTTAGCAGAAATTTGTTGTGGAATTTAAACGTGCCATAATGCTTAAAATATAAAGAAATAAATTTGGAAATTGTATGAACAAAATATGCAATGTATACACTAGGGACTATATTTGTAGACAACGGAAATTAAAGGACGATAGCTGTGTCCTTGGACCACTTGCTTATATAGTCCCATCTAATGTGAAATGACATTTGAAATTGAAAAATAATTGTTTATTTAGTCAATTATATATAAAGTTAGCTGAAACACCAAAAATATTATAGGATTAAACACATTTTTTCAAGAGGTTATTGATATGTAAGCTGGAGTGATTAACTCTCAAACATAAAATGTAAAGATTGTGAGTCAGCAATCCAGTTTACACATCAATAACCTCTAGAAAAAATGTGTTTTACCCCTATTATTCTTAACCCAAACATTTGCATTTTTGTTCATTAGATACTATATACCATCAAATGAAAAATTGACATGTAGATATGCATATATATGAGTTATAAGACAGTACAACAGACCATAATAACCACCAACACCTGACAGCTGCCCAATAATAGACCTAAATGTATGAATCTGATTTGGTAACGGCACAAACTGTTGTTGGGTTTAACCAGTTTTACATGCAGACAACCCTCCACCTATTTCCCTCGTGACCATATGTCATAAAAGTAAGACACACAATAAATAACATGCACAGTGCAGCTTCAAACAGGTTGACCATTTGTTTGAACAAACATGTGAAAGAGGGCACAAAAAAAGAAAGATGGTTGTGTTTTTTTTCCTTTTTAAAATTTATATATTTGGAAAAAATACACATTTAATGTAAAAATAAGGAAATTAGGTATGAATGCCAATGAGACGTCTATTAACGAGATACCTAAGGATGAGGATTTGAACAATGTGGCTTTCATTTATGAGCAAAACCCATACTTGTATGCTATAAAAGACCCCTGCATAACAAAATAGTTTAAATTTTAAAAGCTTCTCATCATATGAAACACTGAAGAGATTAACATAGGAAATCTTGTATAAGCATGCTTATAATTGGTTAATTTCTTTTCTTTTAACAGGGACTACAAGGATCTGATAGAAATAATACATCTGATGTCAGGTAAGTTAATAACTTTAATGTACTTTTGTAATCCTGTCATGAAGGTTCCAAGAGGCTCACATAGTCATGTGCCTGCCCAAGATAGCCACATTATGGTTTGCAGTCTGTGCATCAAAACTTTTGTACATTCAGGATCAGGTTTAAATTATAGTTTAAACTATTTTTACTAAATTTTACTGACAAATGGACTCTTTTTAAGTCAAATTTACACCATTACTGACAGCAGCAATCATAGACGAGATACAGGGTTCCGTGGAACCCTTTACGAATTTTGAAAATATATACCAAGGTAGGGTATTGACCTAGATTTTAGTTCTTTATGGAAATGAAAATATGATGATCCTAGTTATGGTATCCTATGGACACATGATTTTGTTTCTACTGGATTTCATCCCAAAAAGATATGCAAAAACAGGAAATTGGTATAAATTAGGGATTGCACATCCAAAAAAAATGTTCACCTGTTTTTTTTCAAATGATTATTTTAGTGAGTAAGCACAATTTGATAAACCTGCTACAAAATTATGTTGTTTATTTAATACAGCTATGTACTAGAGAATTTCAGGAGTAGTTGTAAGTCCTATCAGAATAGATAACCTTATCATTAAATAGTTTCTTTGTATTTTAGTAGCTTGGTATATAAGTTTATTATTCACTATTTAACATCATATACACACATTATGCCAGTTTAAAACAGTTTACATCTTGTTCACATACAAATAAATGCCTTTACCTCCTGTCTACTTGTATTGTTGTTGTAAATATACTTGTAACCAATAACTTGCTCATGTAGTGATAAATGTAGTAACTCAACGGTGATTGTTTAGAAGTTTGTAAAAAAAGTTAAAGAGATTAAATTTTGAATGATGTTCATGGAAGTTAATTGGCATACTAATGGTCAGATTTATGTAAAATATATTGTACTGATTTTTTATGATAGAAATATTTTGTGTGGCAGCTACGTTGGGACTTAAACATCCTACTTAGACAAGCACTGGTTGTTTATAATTAATTTCTATATTTCAGCACTTACTTTTGACACAGTAGATGATTTAGGAGTAGAACAACCAGTTTATTCTGTGATAACTTATTTGAAACCATAAACAGATCATTGTTAATATGGAGAGCATCAAGTGTGATGGAGTATTACAATTGAAAACAAAAAAATATATTGATGTGCCATTTAGTTAAAACAAAATTTGATAATAAAAAAAAAACCTATTCAGGAATACTGGATTTATTATTACATGTTTAACAAGGTTGCACACACTTAGCTTTCTTGCCTGCTTTACTTACCATGATTGAAAGTGTGTAATATAAAGGTTTTACTACAAGTATCACATAGACTTAACATTATCAAAGATCAGTGTAAATGAGGTCAAGATCAGATGAATCCTGCCAGACAGACATGAACACCTTACAATCATGCTATACACTAAATATAGTTGATGTATGCTTAAAGTATCTGAGAAACAAATATAACCATGAACACTTAACATTGACTAATAAACCATAAACCTGAGGTCAAGATCAGATGAACCCTGCTGGACAGACACCTTACAATCATTCCCAACAGTAAAATAGCGGCCTTATTGCTTAAAGTATATGAGAACTAGATACAACCACAAACACTTTACATTGTTCAATGAATCATGAAAATGAGGTCAAGGACAGATGAATCCTGTCAGACAGACATGAACACCTTACAATTATTCCCTCCACCAAATATAGTGGCCCTATTGCATAGAGTATCTGACAAATAAACCAAATCACACAAAAAATTACATTGACCAATAAACCATAAAAATTAGGTCAAGGTCAGATGAAATATGCCAGTAGGACATGCACGCATTACAATCATTCAATACACTACATACATACTAATTTCAGAAATATAACATTCATACAAATAGTTTATGTATCCGGCACTGGATAGTAATCCCAATGTCTTGGATTCTGCGACTTGTCGCAGCGAGACAAAAATCATGATAAGTTGATGCAAGATATACATGTCACTTTTTATAAATTCTCCCTGCATTAAAGTCTGTTATGTGCAAATGATCTGGATGATATTACACGTATGAACTTCACGCATGGTCACACTCTCCAAAATAAAACTTCTTTGTTTTCTGCTTTTAAAACAGTTTTCTTGTGAGCCGGGAGAGCTTTTGCCATCATTTGGCCACTGTTGTCTGTCAAAACCTCTCTCAAAGTTTTAGATTCTGAAACTTCAGATAAAATTTTATATCAAATTTAATATGATTGGTTCTTACAGTGTCTAGATAATATGATTGGTTCCTACGGTGTCTAAGATAATTGGTCTAGAACTTTGTTTCAATTCATTAACAAACATAGTCTCAACAGCTTAATTAAAACATTAGGATAAAATGCAATTACTTGTCTCATATCTTTTTAAAAAATCCATGGTGAAATACAGGAAATATGAGAGAGATAAAGATGCTTAGAAAGTCAATATCGTGGCATAGGAGTTATATTAATTATCCTGTAAGCAATGGCAAGGACAGCATTTTATGAATTATAGCATTTTTTTTCTTAGTTTTTTATTATAAGATAAAGACAATTGATATGGCTGACATATAAGATCAGAAGTATAAGATTCACACAAGTGCCAATATGACTGAAACCTTTAATATACCCTGCATAGATTTGATTTGATTTGATTTTTGGTGTTTTAACGCCACTTTTAAGCACCGCTTTTGGGCTATTTCGTGGCGGCCAGTTTTTATTGGTGGAGGAAGCCGGAGCGCCCGGAGAAAACCACCGACCTTCGATAGGAAAACTGACAATCCTAGTCAATTAAGATTGGAGTCGAGTGCACCCGCACGAGCGGGGTTCGAACTCACAACCTCAGTGTTGACTGGCTAGTGATTACAGTAGTAACTACTTAGACCACTCGGCCACCGAGGCCCCCCCCCCCTGCATAGAAGTTATTGCCATACTAACATGACAATGTTTTACTGTTTTATAAATTATCATGAGAAATATGCAAGCTTGACATGCTCGAGAGAAACATTAAAAATGATCAGCAATTCTAGATCTAGAAAATAGCCAATATTACTAAACCTTATCAATGTTACTGATTCCCTTCCAGACTTATTGCCATGGTATTTCGATTTTTGACAAATGTTAAGTTTTTTTAATAATACAATTTACAGCAAAAATGATGTTAATAGCAAGATATATTTTGGTTCTAAGGTACTGTCTTCTAAATAAATATACAAGGGAAGAACTATATTGCATCTTGTGATGATAATGTTGTTGATATAAAACATCAGTTTTTAAATACCATATATATTTCTTAGTCAATAAATTTGGATACCAATTGGCTATAAATAATCACATATGTCAAAGGACAGACAACACATAAAAACTGACTGACACTATATATTCAAGAGTGATAAAAGTGGCATTAGACACCAGCAATCAATCTATCTAATAAGTTAAAAAAAACTTGATATTTGTTCATATATTTTCCACACAAAAATCAGTGAACTTACTGTTTATAAAATGTTTAATTATTTGAAATGCTAAGGTTTTGATGCCTCTTGTATAGTTAGCCTTAACCGCATTTTGCACAACTTTTCGGAATTTGTTGTTTTCAATATTTCAATACTATTTAACTGTTTTTATACGTCCGTCAAAATTTTGACGGGACGTATTATAGTATACAAATGTCGCATCCGTCTGTCGACCACAAAATTTGAGAACGACTTATATCCAAATTTCATGAAACTTAACAGTTGTTTCTTATGATGGTCAAATGATCTGTATACTTTTTGGTGAAAATAAGATTAAAACTTTTTGAGTTACGGGACTTTGTAACTAAAACTGGGAGTTTTTTTTCACATGTCGCGCCGTTCTCAAAAAACGATTTATGATTATTGCTTAAAACTTTACATACTTCTTAGTTATATTAATCTAAAGATCTGTATACTTTTTGGTGATGATTCAAAATTTTATTTTAGAGTTATTGAGTTTTTTTGTAAAAAAAGGGGGGTTTTCACATGTCGCGCCGTATCTCAAAAACGATTTACGATTATTGCTTAAAACTTTACACACTTCTTAATTATATTAATCTAAAGATCTGTATACTTTTTGGTGATGATTCAAAATTTATTTTAGTGTTATTGATTTTTTTATAAAAAAGGGGGGTTTTCACATGTCGCGCCGTATCTCAGAAACGATTTATGATTATTGCATAGAACCTCACAAACAAGACGACGGGCGTATCATGCGCTTGTGGCGCAGCTGTTTATTAATTTGGCCTTCCAACTGTTTTGATCTGAGCACCACTAATGAATCTTATGTAGACAAAACACGAGTCTGGTTACCAAATTATAATTATAAGACTTTTGATCTTGATGAGGTTTTCCCCCCATACAATCAATATTATAATATCTTATGATTTTGATGATCATAGATATATGCAGTGATGGATCATTTTAAGGGCAGGAGATATGTGAATTTGCTGACTATTGGGATAAGCTGAAATTTCAGATAGTGGTAACGAATTCTACATTTTGTCTGACGATGGGTTTTTTTTTTTCTTAAGCCTTAATTCCCTAGACTGCGGAATGCGGATAAGGAATTTTGTTAAGTTGTTTTATTTTTTTGTTTTGGCTTGGATGGCTTATAATATTTCCAGAAGAAACATTAAGTCACAAAATGTAGAAACAATTACTCATTAATTAATTCTTTCTCCCCTTTCTCGTTTATATAAATCTTAAGTAGACAATTATGTATGTTTTTGTCTTCCATGCAATCTAGGCCTTCGATACTTGGTATAGCGCCAATACATCCTTCTCCTGGATCTTTTTGTTAACTTAAAAACACTTTCGCCCTGTAAAATTAAGCTTTAGAATTTGTTGCGACATCATAAAGGGTTTTTATTTTCTGTCAGATTTAAGCCTAATAAAACACATCTGGGTCACAAACCAAAACCGAGGGAAACACATAAACTATAAGAGGAAAACAAAGGAACAACAGAAACACTTTACTGCTACAAAAACAAACAAAACTAACAGAGGTTCCCTCATTGATGCTCGTGTGCAAAAATTTGAAAGTCCAAAACCGACTACAATGTCAAAGAGATGATAAAACATAAAAAGACTTAAAGTAAAGTCAAACCTGGACAAGCAATAACAGGACTAATTATATTTCTGGGACATTTTGTTATAGCATATATAGTACAAAAGTCTCAAAAATTCGCGATGAGTAGAGGAGTATAACATCTACATTGTATATAAATATTTGTTAAGCTGAGGGTTTTGCTTTTTATTGTTTCTCAGCATGTGCGAGAGAAAAAAAGCGAGACTTATTGTGTAATTTAGCCATTCATATTTAATCGACCATATATAACCCCCTAAAACAGAAATGTTTTGGATGAAAACTGCAATGCTTTACTAAAGAAGTAGAAACAGTATAATTTTATTCTTCAAATTAAAGACCTACATGTATATACATTTCAGGGCCAATTTGGTCCTAAATCGTGCGTTTTCTTTTATCAACTGATAGTGATATCAAGATCAATTTCCAACTTTTAACAATACTTGAAAAGACGAATCGTAACATTAAGAAAACAAAAACTAACAAATCAAATGTTGCTCTCAGCACTGGCGTTCATTTCATTGGTCTGTCCTATTCTCAGTATTCGTTCACCATTTTGTAATTGATTTAGAGTAACCTCCGTGAAATGATCACTGTAAGCTCTCTGAAAAAGTATTTTTGATTTACATTTTTCATATATTACTTTCAAACATTGAATCAGAAAGGTATATAGTTTTTTGACTGTCTGGATCTTTCATCCATCGGAAAACAAATAAGTTTCTAGGTGTTTCTTTCCAATTTAACTAATTTTGCTTGGGTACTTGTATAGAAATGAATTAATGAACTCGATGTTGTCGAAAATACGATTCTCAGAAAATTAAATGGTAAGAATTCATCAATTTTACGTTTTGAAATGCATGCAAATTTTTGTGGATTTGATTGTTGCACGATAAAATCTGTATACTGATGCTACATAATCATTGTTATACTGAATTCGTTGTAATGAAAATTCAAACTATATGGTTCTAGTGGGAAAACAAAATTAATTTCATTCATTTAAAGTTTCTATATGCCGAAGTTGCAGGCAAAATTATACCAATATCTGTTGAGTATACCACCCCTGAGCATAGTCATACGGTAGAAATTTTGGTGTTTAAAAACAGAGACGCATACATACAAGTCAGGAATATGACAGTTGTAATCCATTCGTTTGATGTGTTTGAGCTTTTGATTTTGCCATTTGCATGATTAGGGACTTTCCGTTTTGAATTTTCCTCGGAGTTCGGTATTTTTGTTATTTTACTTTATACATATCTTGTGAAGATTACTATTTAATATTACCTCTTTAACAAAGAGTAAATTACTTTTTTTCGTATGCAGCAGGAATCCTGCAATCTGATAGGTTAATTACCCGGGTGTAAATAACACCCCACCCTTTTTCACCCCGGGATAAACAAATTTCCTGGTACGCTTCATAAGAAATAAATTCGTTATCTTGGTGTAATCAGGGTGTACGTGGAATATTACACCGGTATTTGTACACCCCTGATTACACCAAGATAACTTGTAGTATCAAACCGTTGGATTGAAAACCAATCTAGATCTAAAGAGAAACAAGCTTTAATTTAAGAGATGATTTTTTTTTCACACTCAAATATGGTGTTTAATAGCTAAGATAGATTTTTCCAAGGAAAAGAGAAGTTTAATATGCATGAACATGTAATAATTAAGAAATAAGGATACTGTTAGGTGGTTGTGCATCGCAGTGAAATTTCTTGAAATGCTCTTTTATGTAATCACTTGAAAAAAAACAACTATTATTGAGCATACCCTTTGTTTCCTAGTTGCTTGTTTCTCTGTGCTTTTGTGATAACATGGCTTCCAAATCGTTGGCTCTGAACAGGTATTAACTACAAAGAGTTTTACAAAATATTTAATAAGTTGTAGTAAAATATTAATGATTTCGAAAGAATTGGTATTGTTTGAAATGACATTAGTTTGTTTTGCTTGTAAAATTATCATTATATTGATTTTTAGGTTGTTTCTGGGAATCACCACAAGTGCCATAGTAAAAAGAGTCATAGTCATGGACTGTAAAGTGCTGCTACCATATAATGGGAATTCTCTTTTATTTGTACTGACACGTAAGCAACAATCATTCGGACAGATTTGACCGAAGACTGCTTCACACGCTAAAATTTTTCGTTGATTATGTTTCTTTCGGGATTTTTTTTTACTTTCAGTCTCGAGAGATATAGACCAAAGTTTAGTAAAAATTACTACCTATACTTAAAACACAATAATTGTTTTGTATGAGAAACTATATATTATTTCTACCCGTTTTTAAAAATGTAGATCGTAGTGCTGACATTGCTAACAATACCACTATGATCGATCCACATGCCACAATATACCATTGTAGAGGCTTGGTTTCTTCTGTCCCTGAAATATATATCTTTCAGAAAAAAAAAATATTTCAAACTACTAATAAGAATGATAAGTTGTGTAACCTTTCAAGCAAAAGAGTTATAGGTATAGGATGAAGTCAGTCTAAACACGTTTTAACTGTTTTTATAAACCTTAGAATAAAGAACTCAGTGATATTTTTTTTATCTTGGCTATGATTCTGAACATTAGTGTAGCAACAACATTGATCAAGTTTGTATGCACATTGTTTCGTTCCCAATCATAAACATATTTTTTCGTTGATTTTCAACCACTGGGTCGATGCCGCTGATGATGGACGTTTCTTTCCCAAGGGTATTACCAACTAAGTGATCATCACTTTTGAGTTGACATAAAATGTAATGTATGTGTATGGTTATAATATAAAAATAAGGAGATGTGGTATGATTGCCAATGAGACAACTATCCACCAAAGTTCAAATGAAGTGGATGTAAGCAATTATAGCATGCTTTAATTCTATTATTTGAAACACTAATTATATAAGGTGTTTTATTTTTACCTCAGTCATAGATGGCGTAGTTATATTTAAAACTACTATTCGGTTTATTAGGGTTAAAAGTTTTTTCAACTTTGCATTGAACTTACCATTCCAAATGTATTGATTCGAGTGCCATTGAAACGTTTCATGAAGATAAAACGCGAGTCTGGCACACCAAATTATATGGCTGGTATCTTTTATTAGTTTTTTAAACGGTAAATGGTTTAGACAATACTGATTCCGTTACATTTATATTGTTTAGATGGATTCCATTTCATGGAAAAATGGATCTCATTATTTGAGAAAAAAAAAATATTTCAGTTGTAAATTGATACACTTATTTTTGGCAGATAATACAGCTACATTGTATTTCAACCACCAACATATCAGAATATATTTGTTTGTAGCTGGAAACAAGGTACATATGGATGTGGATGTGAAAACCGTACAATAAGTTAACTTGATTACCAGACATTTTGACGGGCCAAAGTAATCTGCAATAGGTTTTAAAGACTGCTTTGATCGGTCCTAAGATCAAAACCATGTTAACTAAAAAGCAGACTTGTTCATAGGACTGTTTTTTACTACCGAAAACATAAACTTTGGGCAGGTCCGCTACTTATGTTTAACTTAAATTTTAAACAGTCCTGCATAAGGTTAACTTTGACCCAGATAACTCCGATTGAACCAAACCTGCTATAAAGTTTAACTTTCGGCTGGTTTGCTACACACACTGGTGAACTTGTCCGCTTTGGAACGATCGATAAGATATTTTTAAAACCCCTTGTTTCTCGATATAAACAACACCTATAAGACTTTCATCGGAGCAAATACATGAATAAACAGTATACTTGCTATTGCAAATCAAATAATGACCTATTAGGGGAGGAGTTCAATTTCCAAGGTAGGGGATAAAAACATGGCATAAAAACATGTTATAAAACTTTTCGAACATAGTTTCTTCATTCAAGAAACTTTTACATTATATCCAATTAAAATAGTGAAAATGAAATCTTAAATTACAAGGATGACGTATAAGAAGAGAGGGTTCAATTTTCCATGTAAGGGGAAGGGGGATCAATATACCAGTTAAGAATCAAAGTACAGAAGTACTGAACATCGGATGACCGCAAGTTCTGGTGGATGGCCACAAGCACTTGTCTCAGAAAAAAAATCACATCTCTTTACCTGAAAGTTAGGTTAAGGTATATAGATATATTTTTTCTGAGACAAGTTCCTGTGAGGATGATTAATAAATGACAGAGAATTCAACCTCACCGTAATAATTATTATATTGTAGTGATATAATCATTTGTTATCAATATACTCTGTTTTTTTTTAATATATTATATTAATATTTGTATACCAGTTATATATATAGCAGATCATCTTAATAACTCTCGGTTATCAGTCAAACGGCAAGGAAATTTTTGCGGCAACATAACACCGGTATGACCTCTCAAGGTCACATCCGATGTAAAGGAAAAGGTGCTATTAAATCTTAACCATATGTAAATCATTCCAGATATTTAATGACGTATAATTAGATCATGTAGCTAAAATGCCTTGATGATTTGAATTTCGTTAAATGTTATAATGGAGATGTATACATACGAATATAATTATTTAGATTTGTTTACTTTTTACATATATGTTAATCGTATTTTAAATCTACTTTCCCGTTTATACATGATGCAGCAAATATCGGAAATAATTGATAAATGATATAAAAACTTACGTTTCGTGTCCTCTATTACAACTTTCTCCGTGTGATTATGTTGAGGATTGCCATTTCCTGCAGAAAAAAATATAAGATACTAACTTGATTATAAATTAAATCGGATATTAAGACATTTTGATTTGATTTGACCAGCCAACTAATGATTGTTTTTTTTTTCTTTTCTTCATTGATTACATGCGTGTGTTATCGTAGCTGGTATACTAGTTTTTACTGTTGCTATAATGTAAAGTTTTATACATCATTATAAAAAAAGAGACAGAAGACATCAAAGAGAGAATCAAAACTCAAATGTCGAAGAGAGACCGACAAAATAACAAAATAATAACAACGAAAAAACGAACAAAAGTCTACAAAAAACGAAACAAAACACAACTGCTTCCTTAAGTCTCATTCATTACAATTTTGTAAACAATCAGCCCAGTTTTGAGGACATAATTTTATCAAATCGATATGGTGTTGACACTATGATACAAATACCGATATTGACGTCGACAATATGTGGTCTCTGGTGAGTGGTTGTCTTATTTGACTTACCGAATTAGACTATTTACCGGATTTGTAATAACATAAGCAACACGACGGGTGCCACATGTGGAGCAGGATCTGCTTACCCTTCCGGATCACTTGAGATCACCCCCAGTTTTTGGTGGGGTTCGTGTTGCTTAGTCTTTAGTTTTCTATGTTGTGTCATCTGTACTATTATTTGTCTGTTTGTCTTTTTATTTTTGGCCATGACGTTGTCAGTTTGTTTTCGATCTATGAGTTTGACTGTCCCTCTGGTATCTTTCGTCCCTCTTTTGAAATCATACCACATCTCTTCATTTTTATTCAAACATATATTTGTTTATTATTATAGCATAAACATAAAGTGTTCTGGTATACTTTCTCTTTATTAAAGAAACGGCAATATTTCATATAGTTTTTAAATCAATGTACGTCTTTAGGTCATGTTGATTTGAATTGAACATCAAATTAAATGTCTGATTTTAAAAAAGAAAAAAATTCCGGGAGAACAAGATTTGAACAATTTACTATTAGAACATCGGAAAACTACTGTCACTTTTTATTTTTTATTAGCCGTTATTTTTTGTGCTTTGTACAGCACCGTTGAGTCGAGTCATTTCCAACTGATTTTTACAGTTTGTTTTATGTTGTATAGATACAAGTTACGGGTAGGCTTACAAACTTTTTGAATCCCGTCACATCATTTTATGTGTCTGTCCTATGCCAGGGTCAGTTATATCTTTTTTGTATATTGTTTTATAATAAATAAGGCCGTTGGTTTTTTGTGCAAATTGTTGTATCTATTGATTTGTCAAGGCCTTTTGTAGCTGGTTTTACCGTATGGGTTTTGGTCATTTGTCATCTAGCAATATTTCATATGAAATAATAAGTGTAAATATTCAAATGTAGGAATAAATAATCTTTGTACACTTGTAATAATATTTAAAATTGATTTCTACGAGCTTTAAAATCAGGGAGATAAGCTCTTGTTCTGTTTTCAGTCTCTTATAAGTTTCTTCATACAATGTACACACATTGTTTTTTTTTTCTCTAGCAATCAACATGAAATGTTAATATTCCTATAAAGTTATCACTTTATCGTTAATTATACCACAAATGCAGAAATAATTACTGGCTTGCGAGGAACATCTCGTCAACGACACATAACGATCGTACATTGAGTCGTTGTCGGCGTCATCAACATTTAGATCCAGTTTGTTTTTATTTTTCTAATTTTTTGTTAAGTGACGGTAAATGCAGATGTGTTCTTTGCAGTTTTAAAACATTTAGTTGCAGTCTTAGGTTAAAGTTGGATGACACATGCACAGACACTCTTTATAAATAATTAGAGAGAACATCTTAACCAAAAATATGTTTGTATTTATTGAACATTTACATATATATTCAGTCTTGGGTTAAAGTTTCTTAGCTATCAATAACTGCTTTAAACCCTCAATGATTATTACGAAACCTGGATATCAATATCTAGTTCATAAATATCCATACATACTTATTGTTTAAATACAAATTGAATGCTTCAAAATGAGTGCAAACAATTTTAATGCATCAGACAAGGCTTTACAATTAAATGATTTAATAAGACTGATCTGATACTTTAAATGAAAAAAAGGACTAAATATCAAAAGAAGAAATTATTGATTACCTAGAGACAGTAACTGCACTGTACAGTTAGAATAACCAAACTCATTGGTAATATCAACAGTATAATTTCCAATGTCTTCCTCACTGAATTCTGTGATGTTGATTTTTATTTCGTATCCACTGACCATAACAGTAACGTTATATACATCCAATGAAATATTTGTTATGGAAACAGTAAAATCGTCTCCAAATTTTAATTCACTAATGTTTTTGCTTAAAAATAGAGCTGAGTATTTAGGCTTGCTGTAAAATTTCATACCGATCCTGATATAAGTTCCAAGAATGCTTCTTTGTGTCCTGGTCTCCTGAACGCATATAGGACGGTCTGAAAATGTCGATCGAAATCTTTTTAACTGTTTTTTGTTGAATCATTTACAATTAAAATAACATTATGAAATATTGAAATCTACATATTATGTGGTTTAAATATTAGCCACACACACACACACACACACACACACACACACACACACACACACACACACACACACACAAACAAGAAAATAAAAACAACACTTTATACATTTCATGCGTCCGAAGCCCTTTTTATATACCTGCCACTGGAACGCGTAAAGCTGAATCGAAACATATGAAGAGCTACAAATGAATATAACAAAAAAGACCTGGATTGTGCATTTTTGTTGTGTCAATGTTCATCTATGGTCTTGAGATGTAAGATGAAGGTTTGTGAATTCGCATGTTGGATAATGCATGCGTAGCCGGAGATGCTTACAATGCCACTACACACGGGCTTCCTCCTTTTTGAGTGTACTCGATAACCTAGGTTTTTGTTTGTTATCTTGCTTGATTACTACAACGATTGATGAGATTTGAACATCGGTAAACTTCTGTTGGCTTCCTGCCTATACTTAATCAAGGTATAGTGATCATAAATGTCCGTTATTATATCTCTTTGATTTTGCGGCGTTTTATAAGACGGGTGGTGATGCATGTTGTGGTCTGTTATACAGTACGACATATTGTAGTTAATTTTTGTTATCCTTGTGATGTATATTTACATAATAGAATGAAGTAAAGTATCTCTTATTTTTCTCTACTTCATATTTTAATATTACTGACAACATCTCCATGACGATAATTTAAGGTTTTGCAGTTTCATTAAAAAATTAAAAATATGCAAGACAAAAGAATAAAATAAAAATCAATATTGAAATCGGAAAGACCTTCTGAATCTTGGAAAAATATAATTGGGAAGTGTAAATATACTTTTATTTTTCTTTATTTCAAAAGGACCAACAAAGTCGGTTCTCGAATTTGTGTAGGCACATAAACATTTAGCGCAGTTAAACTAGTCTTTTGGAAAACAATATGTGCTTCTCTTATTTATAGCTCAGCACTCTTTGCATGTACAGTGCACTAATGTCACTATACCGCATATGCATACAATCTTCTTAATATATAACTTATCTGAATGTGACAACATGCACTAATTAGCCCTTCTCCCATTTTGCTGCTAATTTAAGGAAATTTGTGTGTGTCTTCATTGTTTTTGTTTTGTTTTGTTTTGAAGATGATGCTGTCATCTGCAAATATTCTAAAGGTAATGTGTTTGTTGTTTTTCTGTGCCACATATGGAGCATGATTTACTCAAACTTACGGAGCAACTGCGATCACCCTAAGTTTCGTGTTCGTGTTGCTTTAATTTTAAATATTGTCTTTTGTGCTTTCTATTTTTTTAAAGTTTGTTTTGTTTATACTGGAAACAGTATTGTCTATCCTTAGTCATGAAAAACGTGTTTCAATTAAATTCCTTACTTTCACATTTGGTCAGGTTTCAGGGTAAGAAAATTTACACGACCTATTGTTTACGAAAGTGTTGATCTCTTAAGGTATAAGATAAGAGTCAATTAACAATCCGCTTCCTTATCATTCGATATAGCTTATTAACGTATTTTTATAGTAACGCGAAACCCGTCACATGAAGATCAGGACCTGCTCGCCATTCGGGGGCACCTGCTTTCCCTCGGTATTAGTTGGTGTTCGAGTTGCTCAGTCTTTAATTTTTTTATGTTGTGTTTTGGGTACTGCTGTTTGTTTTTTGTCATTTTTCGTCATTGGAAACCAACAGATGATAAATTATGATTAATTTTGTCCGATTAAATACCATCAATAATGACTGTTTGTGTGTGCTGGGAGAGGGGACTTTTATCTATTCCAAGGTGTTGTAATCAATGCCTCAAAAGCTACACTTGGACAGTACTATTGTGTGCGTAATTTTGTCAAATGTCTTACAAAATCCATCACAATTATATCAGTAAGTATGGCATTGTTGTTATCTTTGCAAGTGTTTTCGATAATTGACACTAATTAGGTTTCATATGGTCTTTAGCCTCGGAATCTTGTAAAAGGATGAACAAAATAGTGGTATTTTTAAATACATAACAAAAAGTACAAAGAGGAACGAACGATAAAGAAAATAAATCACAGAATTAAACAACAAAACATATCTTTTAGTAAAAAAAATCTGAAAGATTGTGTACAACTACATATACCGAAAACAAACTAAAAAAACATACTTTATTTGTTGATAAGTTTTGAAGTTATTTTTACTTTACAAGTTCGTGTAATGTGTTTATCTGTAATTCTATTTTCTCCTTCCTCCAAATAACCGATCTTCTGGCAAGGTGACTTCCAAAATATGTTACTTTCAATATAATATTTTCTTATGCGATGTTTTTATCGTGTATTTTATTCTCTTAGTCATGATTAGACATTGTAAAATACCTTGTATATTTTTTATCTCTTTGGAGGATGTTTTTTTAATCGACTGATTCCTTCTTTCGATGAAAACTTCTGCAATACATATGTACTCCCCTTCTCTATCATATGTCAAATTTTGATTTATATTAAAGTTCAGGCATGAAATCAAGTGATAGTTTTTACGTGTGGCAACACAAACTAGTTCTGATGCTCCTGAATAATTTTTCTTGACAGCTTCAATAAAACGCACGTGTTCACCTAATAATGTTCGCTGTTCCCAAATATAGTTGACTGCTTTTATATTTCTACCATGCACTAGACAACACACTCTTCCACTTTGATTCTTTATAAAGGAGTTTGTAAAATCTACAACGTACAAAATATTATTCTTATGCTGAAGTAAAAATCCATAATACTTTAGGGATCTTATAGAGTGAAATATTAAACTAAAGGATGTCTATGCACATGAAAGCCGTCTTAAAAATATGTCATATGAATATAAAGATTATGAATTACTGGGATACTTATTCGATTTGTTATCATGCCAACATTTATCGGTCGTCATAACATTTCGGCTGTTACTGTGGAGACATAACACACCATTTTGTGACTATATATATATATGTATTTGTTCCGCAATATATATAATCCATATGGAACAAAATGGTAGACTTCTTTAGTACGTAAATTGTATAATATTTATTCCTTCTTCATTAAATAATTTCCTGAAACATAAAGCCCTATAAAATTTGTTCCTACGATGATGACTTGTATACAATAGACAGATGTTTGACGGTCATAATAAAAGATACTTGTATATCATCTGATTGATTACACCTAGACATTGCATTTAAAATAGTAATCATCTGTACATAAAACTTTATGCATGCATGACACTTTAATTTCTATCACATAATTATTATTTCAGAAAGTTCTCCTACATAAACTTATTCTTGGCATTTCGCTTACATTATTATTATTCCAGCAATTTCTCTTACATAATAAATATTCCTGGAACCTTTCGTACATAATATGTCCAACTAAAAATACGCCAATACAGACATTCCTTAGAAAAATAATTATTTTGACATTGAACTTCCATGTACTTTAATTATCTTTGATATGGAATTGGCCCATTTCTGTTAGTTCACATGATTTGCTCTGATGATTTGAATAACGTGTATCAATATGCAGTAAACAATATGCATGATATACTTATATTGAATATTTCATTATAATTTAAAAGTGATAACTAAATATTTTGTAAATCTTAAGATATTGTTTTGAGTATTGTCAAAAATATAAATATTTGCAATTTAACAATCAAATCGTTTGCATATTTTTTATTCCTATGTCATTATTTCTCTTTAGGTGTTATTGAAATCCATGTGTGTTGCTGAAATTCCAATTGAATATCTGTTATGTAATATTTTATCCAGTGTGAAGGAAATCTTCTTACAGCAATGAATAAAATATCATATGGTGAATGTTCCCAATAGAACTTTTGTTAAAAGTTCTTTTGAGCAGATATAAAATTTCACCAAAATCCGCCGGTTCTTTAATTTAAATAATTTATGATAGCGAAAGGTGACATAATTAATTGTAATCCCTACAATAGTTCGATACATTTGCATTACTTACCTAATTGTATATCATACTTATATTCTGTCAAATTTTTATTGCTTTGAACAGGATAATAACAGTTGTACGTGTTTTGTTCTTCCGAAGTGATATTATATATCCTTAGATATATAACTTCTTTGAGATGGTTCTTATACGCAACACTAAATCGAAAGTCTTCTGATTGTAATTTCTCTCCAATTGATAAAATAGATGGCTCTTTGTCGGTCACATATGACCATCGGACGTCGCTCTTTTTGGTACTGTTCACAGGGCATACCAGTGTAAGAGTGTCACCAGGTAAAATACTATACATGTTTTCATCACCTGGGTTCAGAGATATATTTTCTGAAATTTAAACGTTTCTTTCGACATGTTCGATAGATTAATGTAAATTGATATACAGATGTCATGTTGGTTCAATATTCAACATTCAACATTCAACATTCGATTTTTTTTTTTTTTTTTTTTCAACATTTTTTGGTATTATTCATTTTCAACATTCAACTTTCGATTTCAACATTCAACATTCAGAAAAATTTTTTTGTTAAACTTTTTTTCAATTTTTTTTTTTTTTTCAACATTCAACTTTCGTTTTCAACATTCGATTTTCAACTTTCAACATTCGTTTTTAACATTCAACATTCGTTTTCAACATTCAACATTCGTTTTCAACATTCAACGTTCGTTTTCAACATTCGATTTCGTTTTCAACATTCAACATTCGTTTTCAACATTCAACATTCGTTTTCAACATTCAACATTCGTTTTCAACATTCAACATTCGTTTTCAACATTCAACATTCGTTTTCAACATTCGATTTTCAACATTCAACATTCGTTTTCAAGATTCAACATTCGATTTTCATCTTTTAACATTCGTCTTCAATATTCAACATTCGTTTTCAACATTCAACATTCAAAATTTTTTTTCGTTTTCAACATTCAACATTCAAAATTTTTTTTTTGTTAAACTTTTT